AACGACCGTTTAACATGCTCGTTCTCCAACAATTTAAAAAAAAAACTGTAATTGGAGGAAACAAGCATATTTAGAAGATCTAAAGTATAAAAATGGCAGATGAATATACAAATAAATTAAATATATTATTATTTTACAGTCAAGATAAAAAATGTGAATGCAAATATATGACTTATATTTAAAATTAATTGATTCGTAATATTTTTTAATTAAAGACTTCAAAAAACCCCCTGTTAAACTTGTTGTGCTAAAAACCTTTACATGCCTTTTATGTAGTTACAGAGATATTAATCAAAACCGTTATATGCCCGTGCCTTCTTGACACATAGACCTTTGGTAGAATTGAAAAAACAGACTCATCTCAAATCTAACATAACCTCCCCACTCTGTACTCTTCTAGCGTGTTGCTATAATGATACTGCTAATTTTATAAATAACAGCAGTACAATATAGTAATGACTTTGCACTAAGTTTGTAACTGAATTATTATTTAAGAAAAAAAATGTGTCAAGTGGTTGTATAAAGAAAGTTAAGGTAAGGTGATTTAGATGTAAAGCCGAGACCTTTATTACGAGACGAATTTTTTTTTTATTTGACATAACATCTTTTTGGTTTGTTTGCTTTGATCGTCTTGATAGGTCGAGAGGTGTTTACTTATCATACTATTATATCTAGTAGAAAACCTAATCGAAGAGAGGAACAGTTTTTTTTTAGTTCAAAAGCGTTGGTTAATATAAATGTAAAAACATTTTTTTTTGTTTATAAAGTGATACAACAACTTTGATCATTTCTCAAGCTTTTCCCAAGCTATTATGCCACTATTGACGGTTCGTTTTGGGTGAAGTACGTTTTACGTGTATTCGTGTAACATGATAATAATGTTTTTTTTTTTTTCAAATAATATGCGTTTTCCGGTAGTACCTACCATCTCTGTCGTTGTACATTGGGCACGATGTTGAAAAGGTTAAAAAGGTCAGGGGTAACAGCGGAAGAAAAAGATCTCTACAGGGGTGGTGGCAGTGGTGGTAAGGTGGGGAGGAGAAAATCGTTAAAAATATAATCCAAGGTCGGGTTGGGCGTGTTATAACATTATTATTATTTTTATTATAATTGTTGTTATTATTACAATGCAAACGGACTACCGGAAACGCTTATTAGTTGCTAATACAGTATTAGATTAATCATTATCCTTTATTATTTTTTTTTTAATACTTGTAACTTTATTCCCGACGGTGGGCGGACGTTTTATACTTTTTGCTCAAGTATTAATGTTATATTTATATAAAAAGCGTTGAAAACATGCGCTGACCTCGAAATGATCGATAGACTAGCGGCCAACTGGACTAACTAGAAAAAAAAAACACACATTTCTCCGGTATAGAGTGAAACCGCCTTGTTCCCAACGATCAGATCGTGATGTTTGGATAGACAGACACTCATCGATAGTAGTTCAGGGTTGTAAGTGTTTTGTTTTATACTCGGCTACCGATTTTATAAAACGAATGTTTAAAGCATATAATTGAAAAAAAGCCACTGAGCCGTTTTCAAGCTCTCACTTTCTCAGAAAAGTACATCTCCCGAGAAAACGTTTACACTAAAAAATATATTATTACCTACGTTTAAACCTGAAGTATTTTATACAAAACAACATTTAGTTGTAGTCTTGTCGAAAACAAAACAAAAAAAATATAATAAAATAAAAAAAGAATAAGTAGCCTTTGAAAGGGGAATAACGTTTGTTTAATAAGACCCATTTTTTTTTTTGCGACATTAGTTTTATTTTCGCATGCATTTAATTGACTATGAAGTCGGTACTATTTTTTTTTTTTTTATAATCACATGCAACTTGTAATTTATTATCGATAAAGCGGTTTATGACCCGCAATTGGTTTTAATATGCGCAGTCAGTGATGACTCGACAAACGATTGTAATCTCAAGTGCCGTTTAATGCTCTTAAATTATAAAAAAAAAATTGTTGAAGGCAATTTATATAATAGTCCCGTCTATATTATACAAGTTCAAACGTTGCTCCTTCAAGATGAGGATGACGATGAGTCAGGAAATGTTTAAAGGTTAGGCTATAGTCGCTATTGTTGCGTTTAGTAGAGAAAGCTATTTTCCTGGGAGACGATATCTCCTATGAGCAACGATAGGGTAAAAGGTTAAAATTAATAATAATATTATAATCTTTATACCGTTTAATTAGTATTGATTATAAAAATAATTGTATCGCTGTTGTAATATTTTATTATTTAATCAATAGGTTTCATGACATACAGGATTGATACAAATCAAATTGTATTTTCAAGACAAAACTTCCGTAATTAGGCAATACTCTATAGTAGTACTGAGCACCGTCAGTAGCTTTAGAACTTGACCATTTAATTATGTCTCTAAAATTTGTGTAATTCAGTGACCAATAGGTATACAAGATTAGGATCGTTTATGTCTAGCCGATTGTAGCAATAATAAAATAAAGATAATTATTATTAGTTGTACGAACCCCTAAATAAAAACTATTATAGCCGAGGTTGGGACTTGGTAAGGTTAGCGTAGTTTAACAGATCCCCCGAGATTTCCGAGTAGGTAGGTACTTGTAACAAAAAAAAAAAAAAGGATTAGAGGTTAGGTTAGGTTGGACAACGCAGCTGAGATTTTGAAGGGTTTTTTTTCGTTTAGTAAGTCAACTTTGCAATTAGGAGAATTATGCGTCGGTTTACAGTTTTCTGCTACCTACTTAAATTTTTACCACAATACCAGACTTCAACAGCCACCTTGTTAGCATTTAATATATTATGTAGCTGTGACCGTTTAAAAGCTCTGGGGTTTATTATTTTTTTTAATATCCGTTTTACCTATGGTCCGGTCAGGAATGCGTCGCGGTCGACCGAGTGTTGAAATCGTCTTCGAACCGTTTTATTGACCGCCTACAGCTATATACATATATTTATAGATCTATACTTAGGTATGTATATATACATGTATAATATAATCTACATGTCTATGTATAAACGACCAGGTTTTTTAAAATTAGACTCGAAGCGGCGGACAGGTGGTTCTGACACGCTACGCCTCGAGCACACGACCGTCATCAAAATGTAACTTATTGCGTAGTGCAACTAACAACAGTCCTAGTAAGTAATAATAATAATAATAATGTTAAGAGAACGCCAGACAATCCGTTTATTATAAGGAGTAAAGTATAGGCAATTCAAATCTTAATTTAGAGCTTCAACTACAGCGTGTACTTGTCGCCAATACAATAATGAGGATTTTTTTTTTGTTTTGTCAGACTATCGCAGTCATTTCTATAGCAAAAATTACTAATTTTTTTCCCCATCAAACCATTTTTCTTAGTTCACAATAGTGCAGTCAAGTTTTGAGTGAACAAAATTTGTACTATGGGTACGATAAGTAAATTTGAGGAAGTCTTGACAGGGCAGTGAGGAAGAGCCTGACCTATACATCATAATATGTGTTTAAGTTAAATTAAATAACATCTAGTTGATTTCTGGACCAATAATTGCGGTTAAGACTTCTGTTTGAATTGCCCGGAAGTGTTTTTGAGTGAATTTTCCACCAAAAAAAAAAACCAATATCCGCGACAGGCCCCAACGGTTTGGTAAATTAGCAATTTATTTTTTTGCTCGTTTACAATATATATTAATATAATATACATGTGCCATTTGCCATGTGTGTGTGTTGCTATCAACTTTCACTAATAAAACCACTAGTCGGGCTTCTTTGGTTCAAATGGCCAATGCACGCGCTCTCCGTTGGTTTCTCATTGTCGTTTTTTGATTAATTGTGCTCGACTGCGCACAACATGCACAAAAATAATATTAAGTGAAACCAAACCAATCGAGATGTGTGTGTTATTTTTCTCTTTTTCCATTTTTACCTTCGACAAATGGCACGAAAAAGTTATTGGCGGTTAATTTTTAACCGTCTACCAAAAAATAAACGATTAGTTTAGGTAAGATTATAAATTATTACTTAGTCTAGGACAAGTTAAATCAAGAAGTTAGATTAAATGGTTTCAACCATACCACATATATATATATTATGGTTTAACTACTTTTGCTCATCAAGGGGGGGGGCTAGGGATGTTTATAACGTTATTAGGGGAATACGCTGACATTTTTTTTAAGAACAGGAATTAAAGAACAGGAATTAAAAAGGATTTGAATTTTAGTAGCTTCGCTTTAGTTGCGTCAATGGGGGGGGGGGGCAGATTTTTTCTCTGCGTAGATCCGTTTCAATGTGACGTACAATTGGCGGATATTCACCCTAGTTTCCCTCATCTTCCTAATCCCCTGGCTTGGGATACTAAAAACCTTAAAACTTAAAATTAGTGCTTTCAAAGTACCTACATTTATTTTTAATTAGATATTTTTTGAAATAATATAAATGTAGCACTAATTTTAGGTTTTTAAACCCCAAGCCAGTACTTTTGATGGCAGGCCGAGGGACCCCTCCCGGAATATGACTTAACATTTTAATCGTCATTTTTTATCATATAATATTAAATTCTACAATAATAATCAGTAACGGACAGCGGTTACATCACGTGGCGTGGGCGCGGACGTGGAGGCTAGGGACGACACTCCTCGGTGGACGCGGTGTGGAGGGTAGCTTTCGGTCGATAGCGGCGGCCACGCCAAAACCCGGTATGTCCGTGCATGAGGTTTTGCCACAGTGCCACCCGCCGCCACCGCCCGTTGACCCGTTTGGCGCGTATGAATGGCGACACGGCAGCCACCGCGTCGAGACACGGGAAGGGCGAGTAGGAAACGGGGTAAACGGTGGTCGGAGGGGGGTAGGAGGAAGGCCTGCAACGCGTGCACACACACACACATGCGCGGACGTGTGGGATCGAACGCGCGCGCGGGCCAACAGACGGCGCGATACGAAATACATGGGAAAATATTTTCTACGTTATTTTGTACTCACGGGCGGCAGCCGGCCACTGCCACAGTCTCAGCCCGACCCCTTCGGCCGTTACGCCGTTATCGTCGTTATCGCCGTCTGTCTTACTGTGTCCGCGTGCCGCCGAGCGTCGTATACGGCTGTTATTATTATTATTAATTATTTAAACAAATATACATAGATATATTTAATTGTGATTGTTACCGTTCGTTTATTACACGCCGTTATCGGTTTTTAATCGGTCTCTATATCTATTTCACTCTCGCGCACAATATCTCGGCTCTCTTTATACGTCGTCTCGATCTCGGTCCGTTTGTTTCTTACAATAATATTTTTATTACCACCGTTTATTGTTGCACTATCTTTATAATAATACATAAACATGTGTATAGACAGTATATTACATCCGATCCTGCGCACGCTGTGCGGTTTCTTTACGGGGTCGTCGTGGACGACTAAAGTGACCGTAAGTAATAATTTACAATCCGGAGGGTAAACAATTTAAAAAAAAAAGTCAATGTTGTCATGTGGTCGCCGTGAAGGGGATGCATTTTTTTTGAAGAGCCGGGGGGATGGGGCGACCGATGGGGGTCAGGGTCGATCCCTCACCCTTGGGGATTTTGGCGCGACGATCAGAACGCTGGATAGGCGGTGCGTTGCATCACAGTGTGACCGAGTATTGCATCCACGGCGGCGGGGTTGGCCACCACCGCAAAGGCCGCGTACGCACAGCTGTTTGGCACGCCAATGTCAAAATATCGCGTTGTTGTCATAGGACGGAAAATGGGTTAATGTGAAATCAAAAGCTACACTTGTAAGTACGAAATTTCGTGCATTCCCATTCCCGCGGTTTGACGACGGCTCCGTTTGTAATGGGAATTTCTTTACTGCAAACCTTGTACCCGATCACCGCCGATTGTTTATCAACAATAATTATTACCATCGACGGTTATAATAACGTTGGAAAAGAGCGACTACCGTAATGTCTCCAAACCGATGACTGCGCCCCCCCCCCCTTTGCGTTGATTTATTTTTTTCCTCGTCCTCGCCGCTACCTGTTTTGCATTGTAATGCATATTTTTTTTTTCCACTCTAGTTTCTGTAATTTTTTCACACATTCAACTCCACTAAATCCGCCGCACCGCACACGACATTGGCCGAATGTTGTGACCTTGTCAACTTGACAGTGCGCGCATTACGCCTTTTCTCCTCCGTACGGGAAGGACACGAAAAACCTTTGCACGTTTTTGTTTTGTTTTGTATTGATATATTTTCTGAACTTCTTTGTCTGATTGAAATGTAGGTTTTTTTTTTAAATTAACAATATAAACAACAAATTTGTGATTGTTGTACTTGCAGAATAGCACAATCGCGTGTTCCACATTCGCTAAACAACTATATTGCTATACAACTATATTATTATATATATATAGCCTCAGGAATCCAGGCTTGAATATTATGCAACGTCGAGTTGATATTATTATTTTATGTGCAATGCTTTGCCCGAGGGTGTCGTAAAGCATTTTTACCACGCCTTCTTCTCCTCCGCCGATACCTTTATCCAGAAGCAGATCTAAATGACAAACAAAATCATGTTTCAGTAAAAAAAAAAAAAATAATAATAAACCACAGCCACTCAATCTATTCTCTGTATTTCGATACACAAGTCATAAATCGTTTTAACCCCCCCCCCCCCAAAAAAAAAAACAACGGTTTCGAGTGAACCTCATCAATGTCGTCTAGTCTCGTTTTAATTGTATTGCAAAAGAAATAATAATGATAAAAGCCATCATTGTTTGTTTTTTTTGTAATAATAACGACTCTCGTTTATACGTCTAACTTACAGAGCAAAAAAAAATCGTATTATTGTTGTAACAGTTGCAAAAATCGTTTTAATATTCTAGCCGCGCTTATCGTTTTTTACATTTAGAAAAATTAACCATCAATACTATTCCTACGGTTATGACTTCCGTCGCACGTGCGCAGTAATTTATTTAGGAACGAATGTTGTGTATTTTCTAAAAGCGACTACTTGGAAATTTTAGGTTATTTTCGCGAAATCTATATTATGGTGTCATTTGCACATTTTAAACTTATTATTAACGCACGATAATCATCATTGCACTCTACTTTTGTTGTTTACTTCTAATTACCTGCACAAACATATTATTTTAAAACATTTCACCTGTTTCCATGTTGTTAATATTTCCATTGAAATTCAGTCGGTTACAGCGGCAGGGCGTCCCAAAATATACTATCTTATTAATATCACAGAATAACCAGAAGGGCAACTTTAAAAAAAAATTGCACGGGTTCTTACGAGCCGCCTAAAAAGGCCGACTGCCATATTGTTTGTGCAGTATGTGAATCCAGACTATATTAAAGATAGACTAAAGAATATAATTCCAGAAAAATGTAATCTGCACAAACTAAATGTCGGACACTTATCAGTCCCAGTCTAGGTTTCCCTTCTGGTTATTCTGTGATAACAATATATTGTGTTGAATTTCTTCGTTTATGATAAAGAACTTTTATAATTATAATATGTAAAACAAACTCCTACAAGGCCAACACAAAAGTCAGCACGAGGCCTTTGGTTGTTGACACTGAATAAATCATGATTGCTAGTGGCTTTTTTGAATACGAAATATTTATCTGGTGACGTGTGCCAAAGCTGTTATTAATATTTTCCAGTGTAACATAAAAAATCAATGTAATTTCTTCGAGAAAAACGATAATTCGGTTCATATTATTCGAACCTTATAATTAGCCAACTAACTACAACTCATTATTAATATGATTTGTGAATAATAAATATTCACCTATACTTAAAAAACCAAATTTAAACTTTGATGGTATTATGCAAGAGACAAACTCGATAGATTCTTGTGCTATCATTTGTTGTTAAATTATTTATTATAATATTATCTGTATTAGTATTGTTGCTAACCTATAATACATTTTTTTCTTTCTGTAGATTAAAGAAGACTGCAAGCCTCTTCTTTTGTCCAACGAACAGTTGACCACCCTGATGAAAGATATGAATGACGCAATCAACAAGGGTTTGTCAAAAGACACCAATCCGTCCTCTGTCGTAAAATGCTACGTTACTTATGTACAGGACTTGCCAAACGGCACTGGTACGACAATATAACAAAATATTATACATTTTATATTATCCCTACGTATTGTGTATTTAATATTGTTAACTATGCTTTCGCTCTGTTTAGAAAGGGGAAAATTCTTGGCTCTGGATTTGGGTGGCACCAATTTCCGCGTGCTCTTGATTGAATTGGGAGAGAACAACTACTTCCATATGGACTCGGAAATTTTCAAAGTGCCCGAATATATTCAAACCGGCAAAGGAACAGAGGTATATTGATTTTGTTTTTATTTTCTTATTTCATTTTTTCTGTAACTCAACATATAATTTTTTCTTTTAGCTATTCGATCACATTGCTAAGTGTTTAGCCGAATTTGTCAAGAAACACAACGTAGACAGCACAGTGACATTACCGTTAGGATTCACATTTAGTTTCCCGCTTAGGCAAGTAGGACTTACTAAAGGATATCTCAACAGCTGGACCAAAGGATTTAACTGCTCCGGTGTAGTTGACGAAGATGTCGTCAGACTCTTAAAAGAAGCGATTAGAAAGCGAAAAGTAAGCAATTACCAAAGAGATCTTTTTAAATATTTCTATTAATTTATATCACAGATGTACTTTATTTTTGACTTCTCTAAATAATGTCTATTATTTTGAAGTATCAATATTTTAAAGACCGTAGACTATTAATCTTCGTATCGTAGGGCCTGAATCTTCAAGTAACCGCAATACTGAACGATGCGACTGGAACTCTTATGAGTTGTGCTCACAAAACACGTTATTCGAAAAACTGTTTTGTAGGTTTGATAGTTGGTAAGTTCGCTAAAGCAAAGCGATTTCCAATTTTTATCGGGTCGTTCTCATTGGGTTGATTTGACGTTTAAATACAATATTATGATTCGACAAAATAAACTGTACGTCTAAAAGTGCTTTTTCGTCCGTGTACATATACTATAAGTACATATTTATAAAGACAATGTTTACTGTGCCGTCCTAAGTATATTTATAATATGTATATTTGTACATAATCAGAGCATGGATAATGTACTTGTGCTTGTCAAAAAGTCTGTGGTTGTTTTACCGAAATCGATTAAGATCAATTTCATAATTGGTCTATGTCTATGGTTATAGTTGGATAACTCGGCAATATATGCTTTTGATCCTAATTATTATTGTACAGTAAAATTGCTTCAATTGCTTATTATTTTGTTTATGATAAATATTTCAAAAAAGGATTTATCAGTCCACCATTTGGTTTGTATAGTCAATCTGACTATAGAAAAAATTATTTTGAATTCCCATTTCAGATTTGCAAAATAAACTCAAGTGTATTTTAGAAAATATTTTTTTTACAATTTTCACAGACTAATAAATATTTATCGATAAAAAAAAAGTACGGTCTTTTCAATTATAGTTAGGTCAGTGATGCTATTATTAGCGTATTGATTATTATTTCATGTATTGATAAATTAATGTAACAAACACAAATCCTGTAATCTATTTAAAGTAAAAGTAGCAATACATAACAAAAGGTTTGTTTCAATGGTAATTAGGACGTCGAGATTGATGTATGTGGAATATTGAACGACACAACCGGTACACTCATGTCCTGCGCTTGGAAGAATCCAAACACCAAAATCGGAGTTATTGTCGGTATGTTAGCAATTACCTAATTATTATTAGTTGATTTTTACCAGAGTTCAACTGATAGTGTGTGGTAGTAAGTTGCACATATATTTTAAGCTTATTAAAAATAGATAATATTTTACTTGATTTTTCTGTTTGACAGATTGATATTAATTTATTAATAAAAAAATGAACATGTCATATATTAAACAAATAAATCATACCTTGTTAAATACTATACATTTTTATAAAACTTAAGAAAAATGTTTTTAAAGTTCATGTCATTTTAAAAAAAATGACATTTAACTTAAAAAATACAACACTCAGATCGCGTAAATCACATTCGTATTTTTTGAATTCCAGCCAAAAAAAATAAATAATATATATATATATAGTTGGGATAAAACACAATATTTGGTGAGATAGGTTTTTTTTTTAATATTCATTTTTACGTTCTAATTTAAACATTGAAAACATGTTTTCTCTGACATCATTTTTTCTCTGATAAAGTTTTCTCCGAGATAATTTTTTTTTTTGTGTTTCTTCTCGTTATGTATACATCTGACATATTTTTGAATCCTGGAAAAAAGGTATGCCCGCTCCAGATATTACATAAAGCGACCAGTTGTACATTTGTCGCCATTGTGTTTTTGAGCAAATTCTATAAAAAATTTTAAAAAAACCTGCTTTATTTGGTTTATTTAGTTGGTTGCTTTATTTATTAATTTGTGTCTATTGCAGTAACCATAATTTTTTACTTAAAAATGGGCATTATGATGACATGGTTTTAAGTTTAAATTTGATTTTTTTTTTTTGCTGCAATAAGAAAAATTGTTACAAAGAACCTGTTTTGTTTATTTATTGTGTTGGCGTGACTTAAAATTTTGTACATACATAATAATTAATTATGTAACCGTGTTGTGCTTTAATAATACACCGATGGTTAGATTCTTGCCTTGACCCTCCGTTAGTCAGCCGATTTTTGGTCACACTTAAATAAAGTTTGACTTGTGTACATTTCTTACCTGAGTCCCAGTGTGACTGGGGTACATTCTTACCCGGCGTGACTAACGGAGTGTTAAATTTAACAGCTGGCATGCACTAGAAAGCAATTTAACATCATTTCAATATTGTACATTATTTATTTATTTTTTATTATACTTCTTTAGGAACTGGGTGCAACGCTTGTTACGTTGAAAAGGTCGAAAACGCCGAGCTGTTTGATGGAGATTCGTCAAAACCTTACGTGATCATCAACACTGAATGGGGTGCGTTCGGCGACGACGGTAAATTAGCATCGATCACCACAAAATACGACCGTGAAATCGACGAACTCTCATTGAATGCAGGATGTCAAAGGTACTTAATTCAACATTAAAATAATATAATGTTGACGATTATAAAAAAAATGTATATATTTTTTTTAGATTTGAAAAAATGATCAGTGGAATGTACATGGGCGAGATTGTAAGGTTAACCATTGTAGATTTAGCAAATCAAAAGAAGTTGTTCGAAGGAAGACTATCCGATCAAATGAAAACCAAAGGAGCATTCGGCACATCATTCATTTCTGACATCGAAAGGTAAGTTATTCAAACAAATCGAATTCTAATTAAAATTTAAATCTAATTTATTTTTATATTTAAAAAAAAAAAATGTTTTCTAGTGACAAAGCTAACTACAAGGAAACGTTGAAAGTCCTCAATGAAATGGGAATCAGCGATCCATCATTAGTTGACTGTGCCAACGTGCGATACATCTGCGAGTGCGTGTCCAGACGGTCAGCGCACTTAGTATCTGCCGGTCTGGCTGTGCTACTCAACAAGATGAACGAAAAATCCGTTACCATCGGAGTGGATGGTTCGGTTTACAGATTCCATCCGTACTTCCATAAATTAATGGTCGAAAAAACTAAACAGTTGGCAAACCCAGACATCAAAGTTAGTACCAATATTAGGCGATACAAATGGTGTCGTATCTACGATTGCACCCCTAGTGTTGTTTACTGTTTAAAATTCAATTCGGTCGTCCTTTGATTCCTAAACTTATGCAAATATATATTCTATTTACAGTTTGATATGATGTTGTCCGAAGACGGAAGTGGTCGTGGAGCAGCGCTAGTAGCAGCAGTAGCCGTCAGGGACGAGTTACCAAAAATGAACGGAGTCGCAGCAGTATAATTTGCGAAGACAGTCAGCTAGTGAGTCAGTGTTACCAAAAAAAAAAAATGCTCGAAGTACAGAATACATATAATTTTAGCATTAATTGATTCGATGTTTTATTATTATTTTTTTATTTAAGAAAAAACGTTTGGTGCTAACGCTATATGTGTCTTAGGCGTTTTTACACTATACGTCGAGTGTTGTTTGTTTTAGAGATGTCATTGTTGTCGAGTGTTGAATTTTGATTGTTCATTGTTAAATACTTTTTTTTTAGACTATAGATCATAATAAATTTATATTTACATCAAATTCCCACTAAATGCATCCAATATAATTTTTTATACCATAAATAATATATTTATATATATTTTAAACAATATTATCTATATATTATAGTTTTTTATGAGAATCTACAAAATTTAATAATATGTTATGTAATTTATGATATACAACTCGGGTGTTATGTATCTACGACAATAATAGTGATGAAACCCTACATATGCTTATATAAATATTAAATTATACGTATATGTGTACGATCTAGTTATGAATTGTTTAATCGGTTCAACTTTATTTTTTTATTAATTACAACCCAAAAAAAAACTTAGCCGACCCTTTTGCTAAAATAATTATTAGTTCTGTGAACAATTTTTATACAGAAATTTTCCCCCTGTTTTTATTTTAAAAATAATTACTATACTAGGTAACAGTATACCTATCCCCCATTTGTTATTTGTATGTAAACCATAAGCTGTGTTAGTTATGTTATTATTTTTATTATTATTCTATGTAAATTATTTTTTATTTAAACTAAAACAATTGTAAAAGAAAAAAAAGAAAACTAACATTTATATATTAAATATATTTATATTTATTTATTTATATCAAACTAAATAATTTGTAATTAAGGTTGTACTAGTAAAACCCTACTTATACTTTAGATGGAATATTATAATAATAATAATAAAAATGATATTTTAAATGTAAAAGCTTTGGTGTTTACTATTTATTATTGAATTAGCTCTGTACTTAACCGGTACATTTATTGTATATTATAATGATTAATAATGTACTCTTAAATACAAATATGTTATTGTTAAAAGAAAAAAAAGAAAAAAAAATTAATAACTGGAAAATAAACAAAAACATGAAACTGGAATTAAAGGATTTTTTTTTATTTAGACATTTTTTATGCCGCGGTTTTTTGGCAAATACTATATTATTTTGACTATAACAATCCATTGATAATTATTTTAAAGTGGTAAAGTTATTCCGAAATACACAACGATTTCAAAAACAAAATAATACACCGAAGGTCACAGAGGGTGATCAGGGTGACTATTACCCCCACGGAGCCTTAATTTAATATTATTACTAATAATCTATATATGTTTAATAGATAACCCTTTTTGTTAGCGAAGAAGTTTTGTACGAAAGTAAATAACACTTGATTAAAACGTCACATAGTGTTAAAAAAAAAAAAGTAGAGCAACGTAAATTTTAATGATTTCATTTTTCTTTCATCTTACCAACAGGCATTTAAAAAAACTTATTTTTTCTTAATAATCATTATTTGAAAAATGGATACAAAATACATTTTGTTCGATTAAAACGCCCCAAACACTGTGCACAAACAAACTGTTGTCAGTTGTGGTAAACTGTTGTTAGGAAAATAGCGCGGTTACTTCCCTTTATAAGAAAGACTTGGTTTTTATGGACCCCTGGTATGCGTTCCGCCGTTATAGAGGTCTCGCAATAGCCAAATACAACATAACCCCGTGTGAATAGGCAAAAAATACACGATAAACAAAAAAAAAGTTTTAAACACGAGAAGTATTGTATAAAGATACAATTTTTAAAACGCATTAGTTTTTAGCCTAGAAAATGTTAAGTCGAAATATTTTTTGATTTCTATTAAGTTAAGAAAATCAAGCTATTGCGGTATTGAAGCAAAAAAATAAAGAGATTCAGATGCAAAATGAGGTTTTATCTCCGTGAATAAAGAAATTATTATTATTATTATATTACAAATTTCATAAAACGCAAAATTTTTCTCTCCTCAAAAATTTAGAAAAAATTTATTAGAAATTACGGCACTCCGCAAAGAATAAATTAACATTAACCATTCGAATCGATATAAGATTAAAATTTAACTTCGGGGGTAGTTTTTGGATTTTGAGTCTGAAAACCGACCTGGTGGACTATTGGTACCTTAAAAATTAGAAATTTTACAAAAAAAAAAACATTATTTTTGACATTTAAAAGTCTCACTCAATTTAGTAGTTACTACTCTTATATATTATGTGTCTAAACTAAAAGTATTAATTGCTGTAAGAATTTAATAAAAAAAATACTCAAACCCGAAATCCGGAAAACCACATCACTAAATGCGACACAATGACTTATAAAAATAACATGAAGGTTATAAAAAATATATAGTTCAGTAGTGTATTCTACCAAACCCAACCAAACCTTGTATGAACAATTTTTTTTTTGCTTTCTGAATCGTGATAAACTTCAAGGTGTGATAATTGTTTTTATCCTTAGACGAATTAGTTTGCACTCATGGTCATATTCATGTACATCGGTTTTTTCTTTTACGTTCAAGTATTGTTTCTTATTTTTCTACAATATTTCTAGTTAGACATAATTGGTTAATTAGTCTTGATTTTTCGAGCCTTAGAAAATAGTACCATTTATATTTTTTTTGTGAAATAGTATTTTAAAAGTTCCAACTCCGCTGTGTAAGGTACAAAACAAAATTATAGTCTTTATTAATTTTTTCTATGTGAGTAAACCTAATTGCACCATTGTAATTTGTAAAGCTTGTTGTTTTAGAAAAACGTTGTGTATCGAGTCGGTGATGAACGGATAAACTACCATTACAGTTGTCGTTTGTATAACATTTTAACTTAAAATCCAATTTTTTGGCGGAAAATCGCTTGTACCCGCGACTGGCGACATCTTACAAAATAAAATATATTTTCTAATCTAAAAAGAACACTGGGCAACGTCTCCCAGGAGGGTCTCTTGTTTGTGCTAATGTGAATATGTTATGCTTTAATTAACAAAAAAAAAAAAAATAATAAATGAAGATTCGAACTGCAAAAACATAAACAATATTGTAAATTATTTCTCAAAACGGTTGAAAGTTTAACGGTGGCGACTGGCGTTTATCATAAGCTCCTGGTGGAAACACCGGCAAAATGTTTAAAAGCTGAACACGAGCAAACCTACACAATATTGATTTAACCTGGCCACTGATTATCGTTAAATCGTTAAACTGGAAAATTTTAAACGCAATTTTCTTGTGCTTAAACATATTTTGTCGGTTGTTACGTTGTTGTCTCGATTAAAAATTAAATTTTTTCGATTATTCACATTGAACACAATTATTGCATTCCAATTTCGACCCGTTTGTCGACAATATTATACCTATAGAAGAGTATTAGTATGCTACTGTCCTTAGAAACTCTAAATTATCATAATTATTATTATTGGTACATTAGGCTAGCTGAAAAGTATAATAGGTGTAATCAAAGTTCGTCGCGTAGTATTAATCCCCAACAAAAACCTAATCGTGAAAAAAGGCCAAGTTTCAGACCCTCTCCCAAAAATGTCAGCCTAATAAAGTAGTGATATCTACATTGTGGCCAAGTCTGCTATTTTTTTTGTTCATAACCACACTTCACTCAAAAAAAAAAGAAATACACTTATGCTTACTGTATAAGTCGTCCTGTTTAAGTACTAAACATGTATGTACTATATTTATTAAAACTTAGACGGACTCAGTTTGGATAATTTACTTTGATCAGAGAAAATATATTCGTTTGAAACTACCTTAGTAATGGCTCTCCCATACAAATAGTAAAACCGCCGCCAATCTTTAACGGAGCCAAGACAGTTAGTTCAAGAATCGAGTGGTCACATTGTCATTACGACGTTTAGCCCTAATATATCAATTATTAACGAAATTATCTATTAAATACTATTAAAAATATATTTATATATCCACTAGTAGCTGCTAGGCGACCGGCTTGGTGACAGATTCCAAAGGGGGTTGTGGAGATCAGTGTCCAGCCGTTAGTTTAGCTACCTATTTTTTACTTTTTGATTAAGTGAGAATCACAATTTGTATACAATAAAAATAATGTTATTAAATGTAACAAATTGTGATTATTATACCCCAGTAAGCTGTAAGCATAGTTTGTGGCGGGGTATATGAGTTACTATTAACAAACATTTTTACAATTAAAAACGTTCAAAAAACATAAAATAGAAATTGATTTCGTTATATATAGCGCTATAAAATTAAAATAAACAATAAATTATTACAGATTATCTAATAAATACTTCCGGACAGTTTTCTTATTATATAGATTAACAAATAATTTTTTTAATACGTAATGGCAAAGAGTTAAACATAAATTGATCTAAGTAGTCTAAAAAATGTTTACCAAAATCTTTTTTTGTGAACCATATAATGTCAAACGCTCTATGATCCCGCTTGGATTCTAGGGATGTACTAAACTAAATTCGACTCATGCAATATGGCAAATTGTTTGTACAAAGATCTTACTGGATATATTTAAAATTTTTATAATTTAAAATAGTGGTGCTTTGCATGTGTTTTTTATTCATACATAGTCAAACAACAAAGTTTTGTTGTACTTCTAGAGGTCTTAGAGAGTTATCTGCACACCTCCCGCATATGTATTAATTTTGGCTTTTCCGTTAAATTGCAATTCAAACATTATAACACTAAAAATTAGTCCCGAAGAAACGTTTAGAAAATTGTTGTTCTGAAAGTTTTTGTGTTTGGCCTGTGAACTGTAGTGTGAATTTCTTTGACGTACCTAATAATTGTACACCCACTTGACGCTATTCTCGCTTAAAAAAACTATGCTGATTGTTGTATTTTTTTTATGGAATATATTTTGTCTACCACACAAAATGCTACAATTTTTTTTTTTTTGCAAACGTTCCAAAATTTGTGCGAAATTTAAATACGACCTGCTGTGCGCTTTTGATGAAGCTAAATATATAATTATTTACTAGTTTCATAAAATCGTCGCGGATGATCGATTGTGTGTGCACTAATATCGTAAGTAGGTATACTAGACTTTACCACGCAACCCAAGTACCAGGGTTCCATGACATGGTCTTACTTTACCAAGCGAACAACAATAAAGGCTAAAAATCAATATATATATATATATATATCGACTGCCTCCACGAAAAGGGTCGTACCTCGTTTTTCGGAACTTTTCAGGATGGACCAAACATTCAAGTTTAAATTCTTATTCTGTTTTTAACATATCAGTTTGAAAATTTGGATACATGCTATAAGATGTATCCAAATTTTCGTTGGGGCAGTCGATATATATATATAAAACCGTTTTCAAAAGCCTTTCGAAAAGCTAAAACAAAGACCGAAAACAAAATCGCCATTGTCCAGCCGAGGAACAATAATAGCTTTAATCAATTATACTAATACAATAAAAAAACAGTTATATTGATTTTAACATAGGCTCAAATAGGGGGGGGGGCTTAGAGGCTTAGATACCCAATAGAGGGTATTGCACCCCAATTAAAAAAAAAAAATTTTATGTTTAACATAAAAAAACTAAAAATTGTTTCTAAAGTTGATAACAGTAATAATTATTCAATATTATTTTCAGGTGGCTCTTACACTTCCCATTAGTTCTGCATCTTGTGAACGTTCGTTTTTTGCTTTAAAAAAAATTAAGACTCGGCTAGGATTACAATGGGGCAGGACAGACTTACAAGTTTGTCAATATTATTATCTTTTTTTAATTTGCAGACAAGATAGGCATATAACTCTTGTATAAAATTCCTGTAAATTGTAATAATTTTGATTACTTTTTGTTATAAAATGAAAATGTCAATAAATCAATAGTATACAACATCCTAGCTCATAAAACCACTAATTTAAATCCCTGGAAAGTGCAGAGCTAAGCCCCCTTAATTTTTTTATTGAAATTGTGCCTATGAATTTTTGTAAGAAATAAAGTTTGACTACGAATTTACAACTAACAGTTTAATTATCAGACCTTAAGCACTAAAAACTACCCCTTCTGGAGCAAAGGGATAATGGTATTTTCACTGAATATCATTTTTGGAAATCATTAGACTACTAAAAAAAATTAATTAGTGTACTGTAATTTTAAAACTGTATTCTACTAAAAATTAAAAATATTTAGGAGACTTTCCAGTCAACCTCCACACGTTGTCTGTATTTAATTTTTATCTAGGACACAATTTACCATTTTTTTTTTTTAAAGTTTGGACTCAATTTTACTAAATCAGTTTTTATTTGTTAAACTTAGAATTTTTCCTTACATCTACATTCTACAATCTATGTATATCCTTCCTATAAAAATAAATCGAACAAAATTAAACAGGTCTTTGCAAAACTAATTTCTTTCCTAGCTCGGCATTGAAGCTAAAAAAAGCAGTCCTATCAACAAAAAACAGTATAAAATATTATTTGTCAAACCAATTTTTTTTTTTTATAATTTTTAATAATAAAATTTCATATTAATATAATAAAAATATAATTATCTAAAATAATAATAAAAAAAAAAATAATCCTTTGCAGACCGCGTAGTTAGTTTAAAGGCAGTATTCTTTTCAATAAAAATTATTATTATGATCAAAATTAAGTATACATTAATAAAACCATTTTTTCTTATTAATTTCAATACAGTTAAATAATAACAAAGAAATAATGATCGTTTCTTCAATCAAACTAGAACAATTCATTTGCTAATATAAAACAATATGTACAAGTATAAATAATTTTTTTTTATGTATATAATTCTATCACAATCAAAACATTTCTCATAAAGCTACGGGTCAACAAAGTGATTCGTATTATATATTGCAATGATCAAATTGAATCTTATAAATCATTTTACTCGGATGGACATTGTACATGTACATTTATTGAGCAAATGTCCAAACATTTTAATAACTGATAGCTTAATACAAAAATAATGCAGACAAAATTAAGGTTAATATTTACATATTTACTATTGAGCTATAAAGCGATGGGTAAAATCATAGAATGCTAAACAAATGAACACATTAAAATTGTATTTACAAGTATTAAATAATAAAATTAACTTCTAATAAAATAAGTCTTAACATTTTTGTTAAAAAGGAAAAAAAAATGTATTTTTTGGTACTAACTAAATATTAGTTTTCTTTTAATAATAAAATTATAAAAAAAAAAAAAAAACTCAAATTGCACATGGCAAATAGTAAATTTTATACATATAATAATTTGTATGTATTTCATTAAAGAAAATTACATTATCAAACCAAACACGAAAAACGGATTATCGAATTAAATAATTTTATGCTTTTGGAAACTTAGGTAACAGTGCTTTTTGTTATTGCATCATCAAAGTTATGAAAATTGCACTGGAATCTAATATTAATACATCAACACATCAATTTTTATTAAGTACAGGAAATAAAAAAATAAAATAATAATAATAATAATAATAATAATAAAAAAGGAATAAATTGGTTAAACGTTAAAAAAACTTACAAAAAGGAAAAAAAAAATTGCATGAATAAAATTAGAGGCAATGTTGTAATGATTTATGATAATCACTTAGGTGCACCCCGATTAAAATCCCAATCGTTTTAAAGTAGTTTTACTGACGTTTCGCGATGTACTAGCACCATCGCCGGCCCAAGTTTTAGACTTTGATCTAAACAATCTGAGTTCTTTCGAATGTGCAGGGTCTAACATCATACGATAACACGACGGTTCGCACAACTGACTGTATTGTTTGAAAAATTTACAATAACCTCCGTCCAACAAATACATTTCGGGGTAGTCTAAAAACGGATAAGCGTTCTTCTTGCGGTCAGCGTTACGCAAGTATCGTGATCTAAAAAAAAAAAGGTTTTTAAAAAATCTATAATTGTTGTTGCATAAGACTACACCGTTGATTGTGCTACTTACAAATTTGGACCTCTCTCGGACGAAAATTCACAATGGAAAATCAGTATATTTCTCTTTCCAACGACCCCGTCGGTTTTCGGCGATTGTTTGCCCAATTTATCTTCCATGTAAAATTGTAATAGCTGCTCTTTGGTAAAGATGTTAATCGCTCCTCTGATATGACCACCTTCAAATTCGTACGGATACCTAACAGAATCGACAAAGTGATAAAAACGGTTTTTTTAATTTTTAAGGAATGTATCTAAATTTGATAAGTCACTAAAACACACCGGCAATCGATTATGATGTACGAGTCAATACAATCGTCATAAGCACCTTCGAGTAGTTGAGCTAGTGTGTCTGTGGATATACTTCGTAGATCGGCATGACGACCAGACAACAATGGCAAGACAAACGATCGACTTTTGTCACCTATTAGTACTTCTCCAGTATCCTCTGCAAACAAATACGTTAATTAGGTAATTAAGTAAAACTACATCTGTTTATTTATAGTATTACCTTTGTCAAAGGCAGCTTTTATCCAGGCTTCACTGGTAGACAACGAACGGCGAATTTTCGGGACCTCTTTTTTACAGAATCCATAATGGAAAAGCGTAGACTTCTTTGACGATACGGGAGCCGTTAAAGAGATATTCATATTTTCAAGTCTCGGCGAATCGAATGACATCGAAAGGCAAATACTGGGTCTTGCTTTTTTTGATGTTACGGACGGCTCTGGAGTAGTCGCTTCATGTTCAATGGTAAGCTTACGTTTTCTGACCACACCATCATTGTTCTTAAGATCCTCAAATTTCGGCTCCTAAACAAATCGTTATCCGTTTAATAGATTGTTATTTGAAATGACAGTGAAATTTTGGGGAAAACTTACACTTTTCCGAGGGGTATCGGAAGAAGAGTGTCGCACATTCCTCCGTTTGACGATTGGCTTTATATTAGGTGAAGTTTGACTAAAAATATCTCCATCAATCAGTGCATTAAAATCAGGCGGAAGCGAGTTCTGAGACTAAATGAAAAAACAGAAATAACATGGTGGTTTCATTTCAGTTGACTAAAAAAATAAAATCATTACCAATCTCGCCGGCGATACAGCATTATCTAAAAACACATCTTCAATTGGCGAGTATGGAGTACTGCTCTCGGATCTCAATACATCTGACGAGGTTCTTTTTTCTCCGACTTCAAGTAATCTTTATAAATGAAACATAAAAAATGTAAGCAATAACAATTAAAACGAAAACAAACAAGCACTATTTACTTATTAAGCGATCTAGAATCCTCAGAAGGTACTGAAAAAAAGCCACTGTCTTGTGAATTTGGATCGTGATCTTCGAGAGGATTTCGTCCTCTTGCATGACGACTATGCATCGTAAACTGGAAAAAATATGAATTTTAATATTCATAAATTGTAAGCTATTGTTAGCTTCGATGCGTATTAATATTGGTTTAATAATGATTTATTGATCATTTTTATCTAGACTGTACATGTTTTCTAAAAAAAAAACCTTATGCAAAATTTATGTATTTTTGAGTGTGTTATAAGTTTTTTATTTAATAAATAATTACATCATTTTTTTTAATTCAAAATTATTTGAAAGTTTTGTTAATGTTAAAGTTTCCTACCATTTACTTTAACACAGCTACGGTGTATAAAGATAATCAAATATTTATTGAAGAATAAAAAACAACGCTGCAGCACAACTTTTCAAATGAAAAAACTTTGAAAATTGTTTGTGAATTGATTTAACCACACAAAGTTCAAAATAATTTGTTGAAATTGTGCCCCTATTGCCTTTTTTATTAAACGCCCTCGTAATATTTTAAACAATACTTTATAATAAATAATAACAATAAAAATATTATATTACTGTTGGACTAGCACAAGTCGGTGATAATGTTTTCGACATAAAATCTAAACATTTTGATGAATTCTCTTTTTCAATTGGACTATTCAGGTGTTTTTGAAAAATCAAACATTTCAATGGGCTATCGTTTATACTTCTTGAATTTCCCTTGAACAATCTGCAAATTAAATAAACAAAAACACATTATACTAACAATATTTTGAATAGAAACATTTTTGTTTTATATATATATTCACCGATTATTTTCAATTCCAGGCGAGCCATTTCTATCAAAATCTGTAAATTTAATGAGTTGAGTTTATTTATGGGTTTTACAAGTAACAGAATCCTTGTTTAACAAATATACAATACAAATGTGATAAACATATTAACAGCAAACATTTGTAATAAGAATAAATTGTATAAAAGTATTTTTCGGCAATTGGTATAAAAACAGTAACCTCTAAAAAAAAATTTGCTGTATAGAACAATTTAACAAAGAATTTTTTATTTGTTTGAATAACTTAAAAGGAAGTTTGTTTTTATTTCAACGGGTATAGGTATGTAAATGTTGCACTTTTTAACAAACGTTAATGTTGAAAGAAAAAAATTTAAATACAGTTTACATTTATTGATTACCTACTTGTGCAAAATAATTGTTACATCAAGTTCAAAATGCGAGTTGTAATATATTATATCATGTTATTTATTTATATAAAAAAAAAAATTAAGATAACATAGCTATTGAATAAATCATTACCAAAACATTTTTTTGGTGTATCACTGGATTCAGATAATGTTAGCTTCCGTCTAACTGTCAATGTCGTCCCTAGAGTGTTGGCTAAGTTTGTCATCGGGGATGACACTTGTTGTCCCGGTGTTGAATCGTTGAATGAACTCATATTGAACTGAGTGTTATATATACTTAACGGCTACCTAAAACATTCTAAGAAAAAAACAAAACAATAAATGTTTAATCAATAATCATACTATTAATTTCCTATAATTTACTTTAATAACAAAATGAGTCATTATAAAATGTATTAAAATATAGTATCTAATATGAATTTAATAGATTATAAATGTGAAGTGTACCTTATTATAATGATATCAGTTGAATACTTATAAAAGGAAAAGCAATTTAAACAACATTATTAATATTTGTATGAAGCAAAGAAACTATGTAATGATAAATATATTTTCGCAATTCCTAGAGGCTTTAATTATATGAGAATATTTTAAACAGAATTTGTTTAGTTTGAGCTTCACCTTTTGTGCAGAGACAAAAAAAAATTCTAACTTGATAAAAACTCATAAGTTTATAACACAAATTAACTGTGTCAATATGAATGGGAATATTTTAAAAATATTTTAGTACAATAACTTATGTAAGGTCATTTATAATAATTTTAGTTTAGAATATTTGAGTAGTTTTATACTCTGTAGAAAAAATATTTAAAACAAATTTTGTTAAATTCAGTTCAAACAAAAACTTGCAGTCTAATTTTCGTGACATTTTAGACCAAAAGACCTTACTAAGTTTCAACTACTTAGGGGAATCAGATTTGAATTCTGTCTTAAAAAACTAGTTTGCAGGTTTTTTATACTAGGTTTTGATAAAAATTATTTTTTTAATTTTTAAGGGTAAAAAATGTACGTAGATATACTGAAAATATCTGCAATTTTTATATGGAAATTGGTTTCTAAAAAAATCTAATAAGAGGTAACAATCTGGTATATGTTTACTTAATTAAAATCAAAACCAACTTAAGAAGTTAAAATGTTGTGAGGCTATTTTGTCTAAAAACAGTACATACACTGAAGGTTGTATTTTTAATGGTAATATAAAATAACTTGAAAGTTTCCATTGTCTTCTTAAACTGAATGAATTACAAAATCAAAACCGTAGCCTCTTCCATCATTTAATAGCTAAGTTATACAAAACCAGAGATGATATCAGATAAAAATATATTAATTTTTGACCACACGAGAAGCGGTTAATTTAAGTGATTATAAGGGCATTAAATGAATAATAAAACAGTTAATATTGACTATAAATCTTCAACTGAGAATGTGTAAAAAAAAAACATTACAGTAGATAATTATGAAAATGATAAAATGACAGGGATAAAAAAAACTCAGTTTGATAAAAATAAAAATTGTATAACATAACAAGGAAAAAATAATAAAATAGAAACTTGAATTAAACTATAATTTTAAGATTGATATATTATACACAAATATTATTTGCACAGAAATACTGACTAAACAATAAGAATAACACATTGCTAATAACCAAACTACTATGAAAATGTAAACAACTGATTTTTATTTACAATTTTCCAACAAATACGTTCTGCTTATCAAATTAAAAAACAATTTTGATGTACACATAACAATAACATCACAATGTATTTCCTGATATTAATTTCAAAAATAATGTTTTGGTAAACAAACTGAAACTACAAATCAGTTGTGCAGAATACCAAACACAAGGTTGTGCAATTCCACACAACTCGAGGGTAGATCGTAAGTCAGGTGGGAGTTAGAACTTTAGTATCCCTTAAATTTAAAAACAACGTATAATTAATATTGGGTTGCTGTTATCCGAATAGTTTCATTTAAAATCATGTCTTATAAACACCGTAAGTCAAAAACGAGTTCGGCATCACCGTAGAACATTTGTCAATTGTCAATGTCAGTCGTACATTAAGCAGACCGTCTACCAAAATAACATACTACTTTTGTAAGCAATAACGTATCAAACTAATTCTAGAATCGACAATGCTGCAAAAAGGTTTGCATGAAATAATGACCATAACCAAATCAGCGTTAGGTACGTTAATTTTATTACATTTCAAAAGGTTCAGTTATTTACAGGCGTTTTCAAAGTACAACCTTTGAGACACGGTCAGATAAGCACAATAGTATAAGGATGATCAGCTTAGGTTTAAAATATATAGCAAAACTCACAGGAAGTTTTTTTTACGAAAACTTTTGTGAGCTCACATTCCTCCGTCGTAACATGGTCACGACGTAATAAAACTGATGGGGATAAAGCTCGCGAGTTTCGCGTAAACAAATAGGGTATTTGTCCGTCTAAGTAACTCTTGTGTACCGCCGGAAGAGGGTCGTTACACTGTGGACACCACTAGTCGGGGGCAATGTCCCCCCCACGAACGTTTTGTATTTACCTCGGAATCAACTACTGCCGGAAAATCCTGAAGTCGACAGCGCGGTTGGACACATTGCGTCGTTTGTGCGTGTGTGTTTTAATGAATGTTCGTAAAACACAGCACGTGCACGTTAAAATTCGAAAAACAATTCAAAAGTGGCGAAAAAAAACGCACTTAAAACTAAAAAAAATATTTACAAAACCATTTTTGAAAACTTAACGGCTACGTGGCTGCGTTCGAGTAGCAGTGGCGAATAACGAACGTTCGATTTGAACGGTGACGGCGGCCGTGGCGGCGGCAAAGAGCCGGTCGGTGGTGGTGGTAGTGGCGGTGGAGTGAGCGGTGGCAAGAGCCGACGACACACGGCGTTCGCGGTAAGGCGGCGACGACGACGGCCGAAGCGACGAGTGCACGAGGGGGACTGCAGAGCGCAGAGGGACCGGTTGTCCCGCATGCGATGGAGGGGGTCAAAGAACGGCGTGCGCGCCGCAACATATGCCAGCAGTTCGACAACCCCTGTCCGTGGCCTTTCGCAGCCACCTTGTCCATGCGGGCGATCGCACCACGCCGCCGCCCGCCCTACACGGTCCCTAAATGCACCGCGGTAATGGTCCGTAACAGCTTACGGTCGTCTGCCCGCCAAAACCGGCTTGCGACAAGCGCAAACCAAAAATCAAAACCCAATGATAATTTTGGCATTAGCAAAAAAAAATGTATACATCTAAAGGAGATCGGTGCTTTTCAAGTCTAAGCACAAAAATGTCGACTGCTTTGTTCTCGTATTGGTCTCCTTATTAGGTTATTTCGGAATCCCACTTTTAACATAGATGAATTAGTGTCCTAAATGTAAATTAAATTATACAATATTCTAATTATTATTGCAACGTAATTTGTTCGAGGGGGCGGAAAGTGCTAAGTAGTAAGGGCTATTAAAATAGGTGATAATTTACCAAAAAGTTATCTTGGAAGCATTTTAAAAATACCATACAACTTATTTAAATATAAATAATAATTTTTTTTATGTATTATATCTCAGGCAGTAAAGTATAACATTAATATTTCAAAATTATCGTGAATATTTAAAAAATTAAATGTTTTTTGTTCTAAACAGCTTAAACTATATTTGATTATGTATATAAGCTGTCAAGTTATACATTTTATTTTGTTTTGTACAGTGGATATTTTTAATTGATGTGTTTATTTGTTATTTAATAGAAATAATGACTCGTAGAAGCCACTTATTGACGTAGGTACCCATTAAACGGGTTTAATTTTGTTTTTTAATTTATACTAGAATTGATTTTGGAATATTCTCTAACGGAAAGATGTCCGTTATGTATGTTATGTTATATAATATGTTATAAAAACTATAAATAAAGTAAAATTATAAACGTTTAGACTTTAGGTATAACTCAAATGTTTAAACAAAAATAACAAATCGGCCCCACAGAGGAGATGTTAAGCTTTACAAAACAAAAAAATATATATATATTTTATTTGAATTTGAAATCCGTTTGGTAGACATTCTAGAAAGCGACTTCACGTTCAGTCTTTATTAATTACCGCAATTATATATGGTCTAAATTGCCTTTGTATTTACTTTTTACCTTATGAAAAAATCTTAAAAAATGACATGATCGAAATCTATTTAAATTTCTATTTCTTAAGAAATATATTTAACACGTTTTGATGTCCGCTCCAAAAACCTCTTAAAATAAAAAATAAGACGGATACATGTTATACCTAATAAAAACCCATACTAAACCCGTCATCATGATGGGTACTCGACCGAATCGAAGGTGACGGCAGCTGCATTAGAATATTCATAAAATAATATAGAAGACTACTTATTAGGTAGTTAATATTAATATTATGTATAGTCAGTATTATTCGAATCGTTATATTAGCACGACAGTTGTACAAACAATATCGACCCGATTCGGCCGTTCGATATGGCGGGAAATACAGACTCGACCGTTATTATAACACCACAAGGTTAGGTTAGGTCCATGAAATGTAATTTGTTTACTATTATTGAACATTGTTGTTGTGTAGGATTTATACCTAAAAACAGGATAGACCAGACCGATAAATCAGTATTTCAGACGTGCCATCACATTGTTGGATCTGAGCGTGTGGCTATAATGTTGCCTTTTTAATATTATATTTTTCTAAACTGATAAACTAATATTGTTTAACTGTTGAACTGCAGTATAAGAAACAAGGTCAATCGGGGCAACAGAGTGTTAATACCATTTATAAAAAATCAACAGTATTTGTATTTTATTTAATCGTTGCGAGCAAGTACATTACTATATTGTTGTTAAAATTAAAATTTGTTGAGTTACAATTATAAAATGTACATTACTTTATTTAAAAAAAAAACCATATTTCCCCATTTGTTTACAATTGTCAACAAACCTCGCTGGACTCTTAATATTAAATTTTATTGATCAAATTGTTTCAAGCGAAATACCTCCAGAAGTTGATAGTTTTCTTAAAGAATGAGTGGAATTTTTGTGACTCTTTTGGATTCTGAACATTTGTTCGAAAATTATCCTATTGTATTCGCAAGAGAAATTTAAATATATCTATGCATTTTTTGGTGTCACATGAGAAATGATTTATACTTAATTTTTGTAAAACTGTGTTTTCAAGTGTACGTATATTCCAATGCCAAAGGGACGACATCCTGTTGTCGTTTTGGGGGGCAAAAAAATTAAGACCGACCTCGTCGGCGGGACGTTTGTATTTGTTTTACATTATATGTATCAACTATAGGTATACACCGTGTGCATTTGTCCGGGGTTAAGCTCTGATTTGGAAAGAAACCGTTTTTTTTCCTTCTTCCCCGAACCACACGTGTATCGCAAATCGGGTGTCCTGTTGTCCTGTGTTGTCCTGGGGGTGCGATTATACCGGCAACGGGTCGTCGCGGGACCCGCATGTATATTAATAATAATGGCAGCAATAATATATAAGGGAAACGCCGATTCAGGTTTTAGGGGTGCGGATCTCTCACGGGCACACTGTGTATGTGTATAATACCTATATATGTATGTAATGTCTCGAGGAGAAAAATTAAATAAAAAGATTTTCGTTCTCGAATCGGACAAACGGTTTTCGCTCATGTTTTTCTCATAATTTCTAACGATTTTATTTTATTCGGTCAAGGTGAAACGACGGCGTGCGTGTGATGTTCTCTATTAGAAGTTTTTTTTACCATTATCGACATTTTATTTTTTGTTTGTTTTATTGCTCTAATCGCGTTCTACCCGACACCGGTGCGGTTTATAAGTCGACCTATATCGATGATAATCAATGATTCATAATTTACTTAAAATGCGAACAACAAAAACATCTTATTGCTATTTTTCAAATTAGTATAATATATTGGATTTTATCCTATACAGGACAATCGAAATTTTACTTAACAGCTATTTTTTTTTTGGCAAATAATTATTTCAGCTAAAAAAAACTCTAATGAAATCTTTATGATACTAAGCGATCAAAAAAAAAAAAAAAATACACGGTATTTGGTAGTCAAGCTGAAAATATTATTTAAATAGGTAGTTATTTAGAGGGCCTCTAACAAAAAATATATCAACCTAAACGTTTGATTTACATGTGTTAAAGGTTATTCGTATTTAAAGTTATGACTCCACACAAAGTTATTATTCAAAAATGTCTATCTTATTAATCATTTTAAATTTTAAATTAATTTAAATCAAATATTATGTAGGTTGTTATTCGGTTTGACTTTACAATGTTACATTCAAATTACCTTTTAAAATAATATTTTTAACTTCAAAACTAAAAACAATTTTTGACAATTTAATATAAGTTATCGTTTGACATTTTTTTAGGTAAAATATAAATTTTCATAGAAAAAATTGCTGCTAAGTAAAATTTTTATAATCCCATTTAACAAACCTGCTGACAATACAAAATAATATAAAACAATGAGAAAGTGGTACGTTTTTTTTTACAATTACATCATCCCAATATTTGTTTTTAGCAAAATATTTGTGTTTATTATTAAACACATCACTGCAGTTTTTTAGTCTTCTGGTTCAGGCGAAGTCTACTTGTATATTATTCAAAAATGAAAGTATAAAAATAAAAAAGGTCACATCGCACGTGTACTGATTTGTCACTTAATGGAATACATTTGCGGGACTTGTACAAAAAAGAATAAGTCATAGCCGTGCTAAAACCTAAGATTATTAAGCAACTTACTTATTTCAGATTATTATCATTTATTAAGCAACCTAATGAGACTTTAACCTTTGCTGGCACCAATTTTATTGTAATGACGAAAAAAGGAAAGGAAAGCGAACAAATTTTAAGTTCTAAATTCTAATTTCTAAAATTGTCAGACTATTATTCGCTTAAAGAATATAGAAGTAGATATATATTAGCCGTCAAAATATAACAACAGCTGTAGGCATACTAAACGATGTACTAATGAATGCACAAACAATATACAAATATATATATATATATGACCTTCTTAAAAAGTATTACCTATGTGAAAAATATTGGAGGGAATAACGTTATAGGAACACAGACGCAGCGCTACATCAATTTTGTAATTTGAATAATGAATAATTTAATAGATCCCTGTTTGCATTTTGTATGTAGCTCACTCTTTTTTTTTAGAACTACTAAGTATGCACAGCTGCAATTATGCAAGTGTTTATTGCTGAATGTTTGAAAGCCAAAATATATATTACACACAGATTTGTGTTAACCTCTTTGGAAGTGGTTTATTTAGATATATTGCTATATGCTTCAGTCCAATACCTATATGTAAAACAAATCCAGTTTTAGTAATAATAAATTGTAATACTTCGAAAATATGCATACAAAATAATAAATATGCAATTTTTGTAGTAATTTTTAGTTAGTATATTTTTACCAAAATTGTCTTTAGTAAAAACTAAGGTAGTTGGTAAGGGCTAAGTGTTATAAGCACAAACTTAGATATTATTTAATCTTTATCATCAAATTTTACGAAACATTTTCATATAGATAATATAGTATACATAAAATTTAGAATATTTGTGATTTTAAGTTTTACTGCTCATTGATGGGAGACAATATAGCAGGTCGTCTTCTCAATTATTTTATTGTTCATTTAACCTCATCAATATTATTTCTATTGAACCATCAAATTTAATAATAAAGGCTTAAAAATAATATACATGTTATTTCTATTGCGTTCTTAATTTTCGGATATTTTTTTATGTGGCGTTGTACCTATTGGCTTTATTAATTATAACGGAAACTGGTCAAATTATTGGCTGAAAATATTTTTACTACATCCTTTGGTAAAAAAAAAAAATAAATACGAACATTATGTATTTTTTTCCTTAGATATTTCGTGAGAAAATGTCTTTGATAAAAGAACGAACGTCTTTTGGCTGTTTTTAACAAAATGTCTTGGTATAATTTTGAAATTTCATTCAGACCAAGAAACGCACATACATATATACGTGAGCGGTCGGCGCCTCCATGGACCATGGACACACTCATCCCTCGGGTGGGGTTCTGTTTATTGTTAAGAGATTCAAAAACATACCGTCGTAGACGTTATAAAATGATGTTCTTGGAATTCGTTTTTTTTTTTTTGTTAGAGATGACTGGGCGTGTACGTCCGAGATTCACCTGTAACCGAAAAACGGCCCTTGTGATATATACTCCATAGAAATACCTGTACACAAGTGTTTTCTTGCGACCGCTTATTATGTATGTTATCCTTTACTTTGGTTTTGAACTACTAAAAGAAGCTGCAAGGTGCGAGTCTTAACGGTTATTTCCTATACAAATGCACGCTATCCTTGTTTGATGTTTGTTTCCACGTATAACACGAAGGCCACCAGTAAAATATAACTGCGTAGTACCCATGCTCTACAAAAAGAACTATTTACACATCAGTTTTTTTAAAAAAAGCATAAAAATTGGTTCCCTCGTTCGGTTTGTAAAATATGGTTTCTACTGCTGACAAAAGCGCGGGAAAACAAAACACCCCATGTCTCACGCTAGTAAGTACAAGTGTTTCTGATATTGTTTGAACGTGTAGGTACATACAAAATTTGTTCACAACACAATTACCAAACGTCATTTGTAATTTATTTTCATTAGGGGTGGGACCTCAAAAATTTAAGTTTTTACCGAAAAACCGTTAGTCTATTGTCAAGTCATTTATAAAAGTATTATAACTATTAATTTTAAGTAAATACAATTAGTAATGTAACGTAATTAATATTTGTACTGAAAAATGTACTAAAAAGTTTTAACTGAATGATTTAAAATTCCAATAATTTGAATTTTAACGATTTTTTTCTCTTAGTATTTTTTTAAAACGATGTTCTTTTTATATATTTATTTTTAGACGTATTTTTATAAAGTATTACAAATTACAATTATCAATCCTTAAAATAAATAGGTACAATCTATCAGTTTTTGTAAATCAGGATAATGAAAGCTTCGCCCCTAATTAATATTTATATATATGGGTACATTTATTAAGGAGTAAAGTATAGGCAATATTTCGATAGAATAAGTCATTAATCATTATTAAATATTAATACATATTCTATATTAACACAGTAAAATTAAATCCTTATTGATATTTTATAATATTAATTTTACAACGCAGTTGTTAGGATTCTTTAAATAAAAACATGTGGAGATTCACTTTTATAAGAAATTGAACAGTTTGTGTATGACTGTTTATCTATATAGGTTTATACAGGGTCGTATTTATGCACAGACTATCCAGGCTGCAACCTATGCCTGCACCACAAAAAAACAGTTTAAGATTGTTAATTTGAAATAAAAATCTTGTTTGTTTGGCATGGTGTATGAAATAAAATGAATTTTTGATTACTATTTAATGGTTGTCGACGGCTTCTGTTATCTACAATATTAATACATTAATAATTGTTTCTCACTTAGCTCATCTGGTTTTAATAAGTCATTTATTTGTTGAGAATTAAAATTGCTCTAAAATGCGATTCATGCAGGGTCATTTTTAAAACATTTTCGGGGGAGGGCCCCTAGACCCTTCTTCTAATGATGGGACATGGGTCTATATCCGCCAACAAGACCTGAATTCTATACGAAATTAAAGAGCTGGTCGTTATCTAAATTTCGCGTTTTTTGATAAAGTTGTTATAAACTTAGCTATAAGAAATTTGTTTTACTTTAATTTGCATTAAATTATAGGTTATCAGAAATCGTTCACGTCAAAATGTAGTTAAAATCTTAATCTTTATCATTTTGTATGGATGTGTAACTCCGTTGTAACTTTATTTGATATATTATAAATATAAAATCTGGTATAAAAATGTATATTTAATACGTTTAACGTAAATTATTATTTTTAACACGTTAGCTGCAGGGACTTCAGTTCGATTATTTGGGAATCACTTGAACTGGGACAGGCGTCACAACAACACATGACACTCAGTGCTAATGTGCTAAACACAATATTTATAACGGACAATTTTTGAATTTAATATCCAATAAGCAATAGTTAAAAAGCATTAACCGTTTTATGCAGGGGTTTTTGTACATTAAATAAAAAACGTGAATACATGTGTGAGTAATATTAGTTGATTGTTGAGTAAACTATAAAAAAATGTTCAGTTGTTGCGAACATTTATTTGGATACTAATCATACCATAAAATCAGTAAAATTGCTTAAAAATGTAATTAATTCAAAATAACTTAATACTAGGGAAGCAAAAAAACCATTTCGCAAAAAAGGAATTTTTTAGTTTTTCCTTGTAGCTTGTACCTTTCATATTATTATCATGTTAACTTTCGATTGGCAGTTGACACGAAATTTTAAATAGATAATATGATAACGCTTATCATTATTTGATAAGAACCAAATTATGATAATAATTGATAACTGAATTTGCCGGAAATGACTTCTTTGTAAGTCATAACTGATAACTAAACAATTCATTCGATCGTCAATTGACCCTTATTAATTTATTCCTAGACGTTACGAACCGGAGTTATACTTGTTCGTGAAACGCCCATTTACTCTTGTTAACCTGTTAATTATTCTACAAATTTTTACACAAACGCTACCATAGGTATATCAAAGTTATTGACAAACTTAAATATAATGAAAAAAATTGCAATTTTCGGTGGTACCGGTATGACGGGCCTGTGTACTGTGGAGGCTGCTTTAAAACAAGGTACATTTTAGGCTGTTAATCTTATATTCAAGTAATTGCTTTTTGCATGTCATATAATATTCGAATACCGTTTTAGTAAAACAAATCTATTTTTATTTGTCAATATTTGTATATGATGGTTTTTTTAGGTCTCGAAGTCAGAGCTCTTTTGAGAGATCCATCTCGTTTGCCGGAATCTCTTAGAAATCAAGTAGAAGTATTTACGGGTGACGTTTTAGTAAAAGAGGATGTCGACAAGGTCATTGAAGGGAGAGACGCAGTTGTCGTAACATTAGGCACAAGAAATGATCTCAGTTTAGTATATATTATTTTAACAATGTGTTATATATTTCTTACTTAAAAACGGTTGTTTCTGTAATTTAATGTTGTTTATAGGCCCTACTACGATAATGTCGGATGGACTGAAAAACATCTTGTCTGCTATGGAGAACAAAAACGTGAAAACTATCTCAGTTTGCTTATCAAGTAATTCAATTATTAATTTAACATTGTATTTAGTAATGTGTCTAATGGAAAATTGTATTTTAGCATTTTTATTTTATGATAAGCCAAAAGTACCAGCAATGTTTCACGGTATTAACGATGACCACGAACGTATGTTGCATTTACTTCAAGCGACAGAAGGTCTTAATTGGATAGCCGTCATGCCACCACATATAGGGGACACTCCGTCCGGCGATTATAATGTAGAAATTGGTTCATCACCTGGTCGAGCTATATCAAAATTTGATCTAGCTAAATTCATGATAGAATGTTTGTCTAAACCGGAATATTATAAACAAAGAATGGGATTGGCGACTAAAGTACCAGTCCCGTAAGAGTTATGAAATTTTTAATAACTATCTTTAATTTAGCAGAGTACACCGTTAAATTGATTACTTGTAAAAACCAACATATTATTTTAATTTGAAATCAAAATCTTAAAATACAATTTATTATATATTTGTATTACTGCATAATTATTGTACACATGCTATTAAGATTCAAGGAATAATATGTAAACAAAGGCGTTGGATTTATTTTCCCTTCTTCTTTTTTTTGAATTGTCCTTTTCGGTGTTGTAATCGAGGTGCATTTTCATTGGGTTGAACTTGGGTGTTCTGAGTTTTAGGCTGTGCAGCAATATTTTTGATGTTACTGAAAATTAGATAGTTAATTATTAACAAACCAATTATTAATATGACACAATTTGTATAATAATCTATATTTTAGTTATCAGTTTTTATTGCTAAAATAAATAAATATTAACTATCTAGCGAGCAATTATATTTTTATTGAAATTACAGATACATAATAGGCATATTGTAGAATTTCATCTAAATTGTTAATTAAGTATACTTAATTTTAATAAGATATAATTAACAGAATAATCAATTTTTTCTTTAAAAAAAAAAACACCGAAGATTAAAACTAAAAATTCATCCAAACGTCAGATTTTTAATGAAGTCTAGTAAATAGTAATATAATACAATACTTACTATTTTTCACTAGCATCGACGCTAGCGCCTTGTGTTCCTTTGCCAATACCAGTGTCCTTGTTCCTTCTGTCTTTCTTTTTACGGTAGCCAGTACGCTCGTGTCTCGGTAACCAACGTTCTGGGTTAGGTGGAATTTCTGGATTGAAGTTTTTCGGTAGTATAACTTTCCTTTTCTTTTTGCGCTTTTTCTCCACTTCTGCTTTATTCAACCTGTTTATACAAATTTAAATTGAATTTGTCTAGAAATTTCCCCAGAAGAAGCAGCGGGCTATAATTTATATTACCCAGCAAAGTCTGGTTTTTGAGTTGACTTCTTAATCAATTTGGATCCCATCATCCAATTAGTGTTTTCGAGTACATCTATATCGGCATCTTGTAGATCGAGCGGTGGAAGTTTCTTACTATATTTTTGAGCTTCTTCTGGATCAAACTGTCATTCAAATTTAAATTTAATGTTAAATTTATATTAAGTATTTACAAATTAATAATTATGAACTACAAGTAACTAGTTTATTTCAGTGTTTGGAATTAACACGTTATTTTTACTGAACGAGTTCTTAAACGCAATTACAAACTAATTATAAGAACGTTTTACCGGACGCCTTCAGTTTTTGGTCGAATGTGAATAACTTTCTACTCATTTATCTAAAATTCATTGTCATTGAAGAAAAAAAAAATATATTTTCTTATAACTTGAAATGTTTTAATAATACCTGAACAACATTTTTGAAACTTGAAATATGGTTTAAAAAAAAATGTGGACATTTACAATATTATGTAAATGTATATTATTTTATTGTGATTTTAAAAAATGTATTAGCACCTATATAGACAGAAAAAATAGTCTAGAAAGGTCATCACTTGGATAGTTAAGGATATAGAATGCGAAACATACTATGAATTAAAAAGAATAGTAGAGAAGAGTGAAGAATGGAAAATTGCTGCTAACCTGCCCCAGGGCTGTACCTAAATAATATAATATGAACATTAAGAATTTTTTATTATAACAAATGTATGAGACTAAAAATTATATATATAATAATACTACTAAAAAAACTAATGTAAATTATAAGATCCTACCAAAATGATTTACTGTTTTTTCCCAAAGCTCTTATGTTTTTCATAGCTATTTGAAAGCTATTTTTATTCAAAATAATAATAAAAAATACTTTTTTATTATCTTTGATATTTTCTTACCAATTGATAACATTTTCAAGTTTAAACTTATAATCGTTTGTTAATTTGATTATTCTTAAAAAGTGAATAAACGCGTTTATTTTTGTTACAAATGTGATTGTGAGCACAAAGTTTACATAAATTTTGTAAGAAAAAACCTCGAACACGTTATTAGTTTATTTTAGCATTAAATGTGAATGCAAACAAGTTCATCTAAAAGTGTACATTTCAAACACTATACTTGCTTCTTATTTTGAACAGAGTATAGTTAAGTTTTAATAGTGCAATATCTATTTATAATATACATATTTCTATGTATAATAATAAATATACATATTTAAAAAATAATTAACACAACAATATCTAACCTGAGCATAAGCGATAATGAGTTGAGCTAAAAACTTTTTATTAGACGGATTTAATTCCAACAGATGTGATAAACGCTTTGCTGCTTCTTTGGGATCTTGTTCACGTAAATGAAGTTTGGCCAGTTGTTTTAACAAAATGGTTACTTTTGAATTATCGACCTATAATAATACGAACCTTATATACACAATAAACTGTTTTCATTACACTCGAAAATTAAAAACCATTACCTCTTTTTGACTGTACCAAGATAGAGTTTCATTGAATAAATCAGTAGCAGCCTTAAAATTTCCAAGATTCAAGTACAAAGTCACTAGAGTACTGACAATTCCCAGTTTATATTTTAGCTCACCGAGATTTTCAAGTAATGTACACGCTTCCTTCAGATTATTCTAAAATCAACAAAATCACATTAATATTATCAATTAAAAATGTAAAAAAAACATTAATAAGACCATAATGTTCTTATGGTCTTTAAGGCTCATTATACAAAAAAAGGCAAATTTATACAAAAAACAATTATTTATATTATTTTAAATATTATAATTCCGAACCCAATATTTTCATTGAACAATTAAAAAATCATTTAACAAATATACTACTTAATTTACTTTGGTAAGTCATACTAGTTTTTGGTAAAAGGTCACCTGGCTATATTTTATACCTTATTCATAATTTCATGATATGTTTTAAACATAACATAAAATAAATCTGTCAAGTAATTTTTAAATTGTTCAATAATAGACAAATTGTGTCTATGTTAAGAACATCTACATTCTAGCCAGATTAAATTATTTCACAAATTAATAATCATCTAATTCTATGTTAAGTTATTCTAGTTGCAAGGTTTGATCACAACATTTCAAATTTCAGATTTTGTAAAATTATGAAATACGTGTTTTAAATACAAAAATATTTTCTATTTAGCACCATACTTGTGTGAGTAACAATTTGACAGCTGTTAAGGTGCAATTGAGCTTTTCAGATGGCTGTTTTTGTTGATAAATGAATTTTTTCAATATATCAATTGCTTCAGTACCCTTATTTTGACGCCATAACATAACTGCTCTGATTAATACAATATTTTCTATAACGTCGGGATACTTTTTTTCAATGTCGTCACACATTTTAGTGCACTGCTCAAACTATATTAAAAACATAAAAACGTTACATATAAGGTTTAATGTGTAGGTACCATAATTAGTTTGCTAAACATTTTTATTTTACTTGATTAGTAATTAGTGCAAAACGACAATGGTTCAAATGGATTTTTTTCAATTGCCATGTGTTTAACTTTTGAGTTAGTTCATCTGACAAAGTTGACTTGAGTTTTTTTTTAGAATCAAAGACATTGTGTTCACGATTGAGTACAACCAAATTATTAGAAGCAATGGCCAAAGATCCAACATCTTTTGGTTTGTTCTTCAACACTTCAGTATATTCAGTTTGAGCTTCTTTATCGTGCCCCAAGTTTTGCAGACAATAAGCGGCTTGAACTCTGAAAGTTAACAATGCTCAATATAATAATGAATTCCAATTCATCAAATCATGAAGTTAATCGTTAATAATGTTAACTAAGTCAACAATTTAATTTAGTTGTAAAATAAAATAACTAATAAAAAATATTAAAATAATTATTCAATAATAAATGGTGATAACAGCAAATAATAGGTTCTGTCCATCATTACTGTCAACTATTAAAAGTACCCTAACACCTACAGCAACAGTATTTTGCCACTCCCCACAACTAGATTTCCCTTATATCCGTCATTATGTTAAGATTAGCGTTCCCTTATCCGCTCTTAAGAACTTAATAAAAACCAGTAACTATCAAGCCAAAACGTTATACTACACCATTATATTTTAAAATCAATACAAATTTGAAAAACACTTCAAAATTTCAACTTATGTTAGTGCCTCATGTAATACTTGTGTTTTTAAAGCATAATTCTTTAGCAAGCGCCATAATTATTTTTCTATGCATTACTTTATAGCTGTTAGTTCTTCTTGAATTTCTTCTTCGGTAGCTTCCTCTTCTTCCAAAGTGTTTCTACACGATTTAGCGGCTTGTTCAAGTAAATCCTGGGCTTTTGCTATATCTCCTCTTTCAATCAATACGCAAGCCACATTGTACATAAACTCGTATGTATTATCTTGTTTTACTGTCGGGACATCATACTTTTTCTAAATAATGAAATAAAAATTGGAATTTATTTAATATAAATTACATATTTAGTTTAAAAAAAAACAAAATAGCATACCTCTCCTAATTTAGACAACTGAGAAATAACAGCAGTGAGATTAGTCTCCCTTTCATTATTGAAACTATCTTTACTCTGTTTGATAATGTCACGATACAAATCAAAACACTCACGATACCTTAAATTAATAATTCGGAAATATAACAACTGGATTTTATGTTATAACTGGAGTAGCTGATAAACCAAAATTACTTTTCTAATTTGTACAAAATTTGCGCTTTCAACTCTTTAAAACTCTCTGTTAAATTGGTCTCTTCATTAATTATGTTTAACGCTTGCTCAGGACGATTTAATCGATACAAACAGTACGCTTTTTCAAACGTAAATGGCCTACAAAATGGGAAAACAATTTTAAGAAAATAAATTTAGATACTTAATTTTTAAAAACACTTACTGGACTGTTTCGTGTTTAAGAATAAAATCAAAAGCATCTTGAATTTGATTTAAATGAATCAAACTAACAACTTTAGACTGTATTAGCGATAACTCCTCTGGAAACTGTGGTATATCTGAAAACAAACAATGTTTAAATTTAACAAATTGTTATTAAATATCTATTTATTAAAAGGGACCCAGTTTTATAATTTTCTATTAGAAACAAAAAAATTGGTTTAACTGTTAACTATCATTTGAGACCCATAATCATGATTTTGTTATAGTAACACAGCTTTATAATCTTCTTTTCATTAGATTGAACTGACTATTTTAAAATGTTATAAGTCAATAGTGATGGCGGTTTCTTTTCATTTGACGATTTCTCACTTAATAAACAGCCGCCTGTGATCAAATGTTGAACAGCAATTGCTAAACACTCTAAACCGAAACGGCTACTTATAGTAAAACATTTGAAACTTTTTTTCACAGACATTAAATAATGAATAAACAAGTAGTTAAACAATTGTTGGTGTTATTGAAAAAATATTAAAAATAAGCATAGGCCTTATCAATAAATAAATAGCTAATAAATTACTTAAATTGTTTAACATTATCATCATAAAAACAAAAAATAAAAATAAATGAAATCATTACGTTTTTCAACAAGTTTTATTATCCTTTTATATTCTTCAGCTAAAGCTAATTTTTCAATGTCTGAAAACACTGAGTTCAAAAGTGAAGACTTAGACATGGCTGGTAGGTAGTTCTCGGAATATCCTTGATTTCAAATTGAGATGAAAATACTTAATTTAATGTTTTTTTTAAATTAAAAAAAATCATTATAAAATGATAAATCAACAAAAATACATTTTCTAATTGACTTTCAGCAGAAAATAAGAAATAAAAGACGAAGTGAAAGCCATCAATAAAAACGAGTTATCAAGAGTATTTATGAGTTGTTACTTTTATCAGTCTAATTATTGATGACGTCTTATCACGTCATCCGTTTATAAATTAACCTAGTATACCGTGGTTGTGGTAACAAAGAAAATATAATATTTAAAAATCAAAACACTTTTTAGAGACTTTTTTTAAGAATTTCTGTAGACAATAGTCATTAATCAATAGTAATTACATAATCATATAACTCATTAGTTTAGTTTAAGTATTTATTAATATTCGGTGTGTTTTTCAACTTCGAATTGATAACATCTATAACCTTTTTTGTAATAACAAGATAGACTACATTTAAGAGAATGTTAGGAGTTAGGTATAGGCAATTTTTTGCAAAATCTTAATTTAAAGCTTTAATTGTAATGTGTAATTATTAGTTTAGTAATTGGAACATTTTTATGGTAATTAATTTATTTTTCGGACTATCACATCATCTTTGACAACGATTTTGAAAACATTTGAAAATATGAACACACCTACACAACAGAATTTGTATACGGAAACTACTTTTAACTTGATAAATAAAAAAAATTTACCTCTTCCCTTTTGAAGTCGAAAAAATACCCAAAAAATGTACACATCTGTACATAATCATAAGATTACGGCACGATATATTTTTTTATTTCTCACACATGTGTGATATGTTCTTTAGATATAACAAAACTACCGATTGATAACACCCTAAAAAACGCTCTCTCCTGTTTTATGAATAGCGAAAAGCAAAATATATTTCTTTATTTCGCATTTTTAGGTGTAGCTTTAGAACTGATGGCTTGAACATTTGAGATTAATGATTAGATTACTAAATTAAGATTTTGCGAATAATTGCCACTACTACATTTTTTATTAAAATGGCGGGGTGTGTCCTCTGAGACGCTACCCCCCACCCCACCGGGTTTTGGGTGAAAAACTTAAAATATGATTATAAACAAAACATAATAAAAATAGTTATATAATAATAATTGTATAATAAAAGTATTGTTACGATTTTTGTTGATATTTAATATTTTTTCGTGTATTGACAGAGTGCTCTATTTAAAAGATACATTATTTTGTGTAAAATAACTCCACTGTGTTCCCTTTATATGTTCATTTCACTGTTCTGGCTTTTTATTATTTACTTTTATTTAAACTGATTTTAATTACTATTTACTTTTGATGATCTGGAGAAAAGAGGCGAACAAAGTCAGCTTGTAAATGTGATTGTCTTTCGTGAAGATTTGTGTTTTTAGAAGAATACTAATTATCATTGATATTTTTTTTGACCACTAACAGTTTTCATATATTTTAAAAATATAAATACTTCCTTGTTTGATCCCTCCAAATGAGCCTCTTTCGATGACTTAAGTTATTAATTGCAGTTACTTTTACAGTGGTTTTAGTGCTTCTCTCATTTAAACAAAAAAGTTGTGTTCGATCCTTAAAACTGTTAACTGAATGCATTATCCCAACGATTCCAAAGCGATCCAGCTGATGCTTTTGTTCACGAGGCCTATTTGGGGCGTGTAGGTTTGGTTGTCTATACTACAGGAGTAATAGGTGGCCACGGCGTTTTCTTACATAGCAATACTTTTTCTTCGAAAGGTTCTCAGAATACTTTCAAGGAATTTATACGCTTAAAACTAGTTAAAGGAATGTTGATTAAGGTGGTCGAAGGGATTAAACGCTCCGTCGGTTTAATTGATTTTTTTTTAAGTCGTGCGCCGTGCGTTAAAGTTAGGCTATTTAATTAAGTCGGGTTTCTTCCTGTAAAACAAATGATACAGAACAAAAATTAAAACAGTTTATGTTTAGTTCATTAGTTTACTTCGATTTTATTAGGTACTTATTACAAAAAAAAAATCATCATTAATAAATAATAAGGTAAAAAACAAAAACAAGTATACATATACATAATAGTAATGCATTAACTATTTTTATAAAATGCACATGTGTATATTATAATGTTATCATATTCGGAACATACACACATAATATTAGCTTAATATGGTTTTAAGAGTTTATAGTAAGTAAACAACTTTGATTAATATATTGTATAAATGTAATAGTTAAAGAATCGCTAACAAAAAGTATTAATTAAATGCCCCGGGCCCTTTCCTATTAGATTTTTAAAGTAAAAAAAAAACATTCATTATATTAGGAAGTACTATACATATTTTAACTTGATATTCATAAATTATAATAATATTGATTTGGGAAAATCGCTTAAAACATTTTTTTCAGCTTTTTGTCCCAAATTAAGTTCTAAATAATATAATATTATTGCATCAACCAAATTATTACTACTAAATAAACATGGTAAAACAATGAGCAAACAGTTAACAAAATAAAAAATATAACGGAGAGGGATACATTACTTTAACACAAATGTTGAATAAAATTAAGTCAGTCTTCTGAAAAAAAAACTTTGCGCAATATAAAAAAACGTATAAATTATAAGTAAATTATCTAACTTATATGCAGCCCAGGGCATGACTTCCATTGAACTATTATAATATTATGCTCATGACTATATACTTAAATATTGATTATTTGTAAATTATTCTAGCACACTCAAAAAACGGTTTAACTATTTCAAAAAAAAAAAACAAAAAATATTTATAAATATATTAATAATAAATTTAAAAAAAAAGACTAGCAATTTAGATTTTTATTTTTGTTTAAAACACACTCAAACAAAAAGAAAAATCTCCGTAACTTAAATAATTAATTAACTTAAAAAAAAAATCTAACACACTGTGTATGTATTAATATGCAGTTTTAAACAGAAACCTTATCATCTATGGATTAAGTGAAAAAAATATCGATTAAAAATGTATAATTATAATCTACAACGTCGATCACTTTTTTTTATTGAAGGTGTTTTTTGTGTAGTTAATAAAAAAAACACAGTTGGAATTTTCAAATGGACCTGTTTTAGATCTATCGCTTTTTCTATTGCACTGATTAAAATAGCTATGTATAATGAACAATATTGCGGCTTTCCCCGTTAAATGTAATGATGTATTGTATCATGCGTTTTTGGGACTGTATTATGGTAATGTAGACATTTTGGTTTTGGGTATGCAAGTGAAATCAGAAATGCTTCAGAGTCTACAGCGTTCTCCCCCCCCCCAACCCTCAAAAAAAAAATGCTAGTACCCTTATACGGTTGTGTTGATGTTTTTCTATGCTAATCGGATGTCGACCATGTCAACATTATGATATTGTGTTGTATGGTATCTAATAATATGTAACGTTCTGTTGTCAGTGTATCGGTGACCCTTTGGCCTGTCTGTCTGTCTGTGCTTGGTTTGTTAGCGTTTGAGTCAAACCATTGTTTATGTTTTTAGTGTACTATTATATAACTGTTGTCTGTCTATTGTTTACTTCCGGATTGGTTAGATTGTTGATTCGAAATTTGTAAAAACGGATAAAACAAATTGAGTTAAAAAAAAAAAATTTACTCGAATAGAATAAAAATAATAAACATAATCCGTACGTCTGTTTGTACTCTTTGTGGTGTTTTTTGAGTGCAATAAAACATATATTTTTTTATATAAGACTATAATAGTACTGTTTTTATTTTTATTTCATACGTTTTTATTGTATGATATTATATGTGTATGCGTTTGTTACTTTTATATAATATGTTATTGTACATAATTTATAAATTAGGTATATATATATTGCGTATGGGTGTAGGTTATATGTCAAATCTGTGATGAACTGTATGTATAGTTATATTGGCTGTCTGTAAACTGAATATTATTAATATAATATATAATTATTATTATTTATTATTGATGATAATTGATTGTGAATATTCGAATGATTTTTGGTTTATTTTTTTGTATTGGAGGTACCACTGGGGGACGGATAAAAAAAATGTATGTATCATATTATAGTACTAAAAAAAAAAAAAACAAATAATACAAAACAACGTCAAAATAATAATAGAATTTCTTTTCTGATCCTTTAATTATTTGACTAGGAGAAACTCACCACACCAAAAAAATATAAATAAATAAAATAAAATAAATAAACTAAAATAATTAAGCTAAAATAATAATAATAAATTGAAATAATGTGAGATCACGTGAGTGGGGATCGCCGACGTGGTGTGTAATATGTTAACAATTCGACGACAATTATATAGTATTAATAATGCATATTTACGTTGAAGTGCTCTAAAATTGTGTTATAACAACCTAACCTAAACATTATTGTAAAATCAAAAAAAAAAAAATTATAATGATATTAATAATAATAATAATAATAATAATAATGATAATAATAATAATAATAATGATTATAATAATAATGGGTACCCCGTGTGAATAAAACGTAATGTTAACAATCAATTTATAATATATATGTATATATATATATTATGTTGTGTACATAAAAAAACCTCTTACCTCATTTAGAGTTAAGGTCAATTCATTATAATAATAATAATAATAATATCTACTGTACATAAATAATTATAATTTTTCAATAAAATTTAGTTGGGTCTCTCGTTTTAAATATATATATATATACATTAGACTATTCCATAAATAATTTAAATTAATCAAATACAAGCGAATTATATTAGAATTGGTTTTCCAATTTTTAAAATATATATATATATATTTAATAATTATATAAAAATAAAATAAATAAAGGTACTTTTTTTTTTAAATTTTGTACAATAGGTATTGTTTTTTTTCCTTTGTACAAAAGAGACCACTCCAGTTTATAAAATTATTCGATATAAACCGAACTAAAAAACACGAATGTTATAAAATTTGTCTTTGAAAATTACTGTACACAACAACGCGTAAAATTTAATAATAACCCGATACAAAAAAAAAAACAAGCCTCTGGCGACTATTTTTTTTTTCAAATAAAAAAAAACAATATATAATGTAGATAAATAAATAAATAGATAAATAAAACGTTTACAGTTTACAGACGCGACATTATTATAAATAATTATAATAATATTGATAATTTATTTATTTGTAAGTTTACTCGAGCTGTTCCAGGAAGTTAGGAGACCTAAAGTATTCCGGTACGGTGTCGTCCATACGAGAAATTACTTTGTAGATGCATTTTTTCCACGACTGTTCCGTGTCTTTGCCGTTTTGGATGGCCACGAAGAACTCGCGTAACGTCTGTTGGACCACATACTCGAAATTGCCAGGAGCCTGTAAGCGATTAGAAGAACACATTTAGCAAATCAACTCCCGCTATAACAATCCGATTATTTCCCAAAAAAATAATTTATGTAGAGTTAAAAAATAAATTAATGTCCAATTTTCGATTAATAAAAACCAACCAATTGATTATAATAGTATTGATTATTCGACGAAAAAAGTAGTTGACTAACTACAGATATTAAACGTTATGAATAAATAAATTAAATTTGACATTCGATTGAAATTAATACTGTCGATTTTATAGTTGTCAGTTAATCATTATTGAGTTCATATTAATAGAAGTTATTTATTAAATATAATCGATAAACTGTTTTTATAGACAATGAAGTATGAATTAGTTAATATTGTTATAATTAGAGGAAATCAGTTGTTTTTTAGGTGGAACTAATATTAATAACCGTGCCTAGCGGTTTAATAATGGATGAAATATGTATTTAGTTACGCAAAAGTAACTATTTTATTAATTTAATCAAACTAATTTCCGTTAATCAATACTACTGATTAATGTATTCAAGTTTTTCCATTAATATAACTTTCAGGACACGTTAATAGTTATTAACCATTAGTTAGCAAAAAGTAAATGTAATTCAATAATCTTATTATTTCTTATTTAAAATTACTAATCGATTGATTATTTTTAAATAGCGTTTAAATATCGTCAACTTTCTCAACTAACCTAACTTTTAGTGAAGATATTTTTTAAGAAAATAAAGTATTAATTCATTAATGTAGTTTCCAAAAACTTTGTTGGTTTCATCAAATTGAGTTTTGTCAAAATATGTCAATCGACTACATTTTTAATCAACACTAACGATTAACTTATTAATTTTAATTTTACCATTTTAATATTGACATTATCGCCCCACTTACCTAGCTACAGTTTTTTTTATTTTAAATAATTTGTTTGAGAATGTGTCGTTTATATATTATGATAATAACTTTTATTGTTTGGTTAGACATTACTCACCTCGATGTGATTGTTACGGTTGTAGTGCAGATTGAGAACCCTGTAGATTTCGCTGTCCTTGCTGACGTGTATGTCTTCGGACCTCTGCAAGCCCTCGCTGACGGCTTGTCGAGCGTACTTTTCCATTTGGATGTAATAGAATTCCCTATAAGGGTTGAAAAACAAAACAAAAAGACATAATTAATAAAATACATTTTTGTGCACAAACTCGAACACGGTTCACGCGATGATATGCAATTAAACGGACTACGCGGATAACTACTTAATATTAAAAAAAAACCAGCCTGCAGTCGAGTGCTAAGGGTATTGCGCTTTTTGTCCGACACTCGACGATCATCGACTGATCATATTTATATTATATTATAGTAAATTGCATGTGTAAATAATATGTGCAAGGCCCACGAGACGCGGTTGAATGCATATCGGATGAAGAGCCAATCGTTTCTGTACTTGGTTTCCCACTTGGTATTCAACACTGTATATAATAATATAATATTTTGTATAATGTGTACTCAAAAAAAGTTCTCTTTTCTTTTTCAATATGTGTTGTATATTATATTACCGTACGACTACTGTGTAGTGGTCTCGTCGTAAATACAATAATTATTATTATATATTATAATACTCTATTACACCTATATATATATACCAATGGAAAACCAAGGCGTCGCAGGGACAGAAATCATAAGCCGGATAGAATAATATAGTTTAGATTCGGTCCGTAGTCAAAATCCATCAAAACCAGGGATGAATTTTATTTATTTATAACTGTTCCGAACCCCGATACAAACCTAGTCATAGTTTATTAAGACTAAATTTTTATATCTTTTTAATTAATATCAAGGCACCATTCTACTCCCCCTGTGGAATTTGTTCGTAATTAAACATCTCTTGCGAGGCTAATCATGTTTATTTTTCAAAATTAGTCGAGCATGTAGGAAGGGTTTTGTCATTTTTTCCACATTGTCTGGTCGGTGACTATAAGAAATAACGTATACATGAAACCCCATTACCCCGCTCCCCTTTAGGACCTATGTAGGTATATGCTTTATCCGCGGCCGTTGGTACGTTTACGCTAATTACACATCACGGTTGTCGCCCCGCAATGTGCATAGTAAGTACTGTAATATACACACACACCTATGCGTACTTATGCGTTCTGCCGGTGATGAAAAGAAAGGCTTGTTAAATAAAGTGTAAAATTGCCGGCACAAGAAAAACTCGAAATAATTGAGCGCAATACACGGTTCATTTTTTTTTCTCCCGAACTTATGTTATGATTTCAATTAAAAACAAATAATTCTTTACATTACACATTATTATATTATGCCGTTAATGTTCTAGATATTTTCTACTAGACTGCACGCCAGGGTATATTATAAAAATAAAACAATTATCTAAGGCCGGCGGAAACGCATATTATACTTAAAGTGTGCAGGTGGGTTGCAAAAAAAAACAATATATATATATAAATGGGACGCCGCCCGCATGGAGATGGACGCGAAAAGAAAGCTAGAATTAATTTAACACCCACATGAGTTACTTTTCTTCGTGTTTTGTCAACCGGAGTTTATTACACCCGCCAAGTATACATTTTTTTTTTTTCAAAACCGTAAATTGATGTTACGTCACGCGCTTTCCCCGGTCTGTCCGGATAAAAAAACTGTAACAGCAATAATAGATTAAAATATTACCTGAAGTTGGAGAACCACTTGACTAGTTGTGCGGTGTTGTTCTTGTTGAACTTGATGTCAGGGAAGTACATCTTGAGGATGGCCGAGCTCGGGTACCGCACCCAGAAGAACATGAGCTTGGCTTTTCGCAGGTGCATTGGTGTCAGAGTAGACGAGTAAACATAACAGTTATGGAAAAATTTCAAATGATATATATGTATATTGTATATTTTATAACACATTATTATAGGTAATTAATTCGTGGCCATTATTGGAGTTATCATTATTTTATTATGTCTTATGGTCACGGATTTCATATGAAAGTTATATTATATTATAATACTGCACTAAGGGGCGTGACTGGTATCGTTTTCAAATCTTAAGAGCGGTCGGTTAATGTGATTAAACGCGTAAGTCTCGTTTCTTTTATAGGTCTTCCCCGGCGGTTTAGATTGTGTATATATTATAATACAACAGTTTCCTGAGAGGCTTCTTTGAACGTCCGCCCCCCGAAAACCAAACCTCGACGCCCATCTATTTGTTCAAGTGTCGTTTCCCAAAGCGGTGGCTACCATACGATTTTTATTATAATAAATTGTAAAAAAAAAAAACAATATTATACGGATAAATAATCAACCGCACTTGTACAAACTGTTCCTTGGTCCCGCGTAAAATGTATCTACCTATGCCTAATAAACGCCATTGAGTAAACTCTACATAATATACGGTTGGTAGATCCTACTATAATTGCCGCCACCGCCGGTGTTTTTTTTATTTTTAAACATATTTATTTCAAGACAGATTTATTGGGAAAACGGTAGCAATAATTAATTTGAAACGTTGTCGAAGTGGGACAGGGAATTTAATATTTAACAATCGGTACATTTAACGGCATAACGCGACACCGTGTCAATAAACGAACGGTTCTTTTTTTTAGAGGGATACTCGAATATTAAAAATATACTGAACTTTTTTGTTTAGAAATCATAATGCTTCACAAACATGCGAACCGTGTTCGTGGCTGTCAGGACTTCTTACGGAATACATAAGAGGTTAATTTTGTATAAAAAAAAAACCCCCTAAAAAATTGTCGGCCAACCGCAACATACATTCTGTATTATTAATACCGGCTCAGGGCTCTTATTGTTGTATATACTCGACCCCAAAACCGTTATGCATAATAAGTATAATATACGATAATATGATTGCGTAAGTGCAATAATATAAAATAGCTGAAAATGAAAATGTTGGTTTTTGTATAAAAAGGATATTATAGGCGACATGCCGTCGTAGGGTCCATCACCGGAATTGCATTCGGAAATCCGATCGACGCTGTCGTTGCCGCCGTTGCTCATGGACATGTCCATACGGGCTTTCATGTTCATCATGTCGGGCGTCGAGTTGTGGTGTTGGGCGGCGGCCAACAGGGCCGGATGCAGTAGCGAGCTGTGGTGGTGTTGGGGCGGCGGCGAGTCGGACATGCCCGGTGGGCTTGACGACGGTATGTGGTGCGGTCCTTGATGCTGGCTGGTGTAGAACGGGCTGTACGGGCTGAACACTTGGGACTCGTGCAGGCTGGGATTAGGGATGGCCACGGACGTGGGCAGTGACACAGGCAACATCATGGGCGGCGGCGGTGGCGGCAGCGCCTGCGACTGTTGTTGTTGCTGCTGCTGTTGCTGGGTTTGGATGAAAGAACGCTGCGTCGGCGGCGGCGAGTCGGACGTGGGCATGGACGCGCCGTTGGACGGCACCCTGGAGTCCATCGAGCTCATGGAGTCTTGTGCCAATATCCGGCTGACTGTACGCGGTGTGATTCTGGTGTCGGTGACCTTATGGCGTTTCTTCTTGGGCATAACCACCAAGCTGAGCGCCTCATTCTGTTCCGGCGCCGGTTCGGGTTTAACGCAAAACGGGTTCAGGTGCGACGGCAACCCGCTCATTGACGAGTACAGAGCAGCGGCGGCGGCCGCGTTGCTCAGGCCTGCGGAACCGTGCATTTTAGGCGGGAACATCTGTGGTGGCGCCCTGATGTGGCCCATGCTGTTCTCCGAACCGGTACCGTTGTAACAAGTCGCGTTCACCAACCCGTTTCGCATTTCTGGACCGTTGGACAGCCCGTTACCGCCCGGGTAACCACCGGTCATCTTTGGCGGCATGCCGTTGACCAAACCGGAATTCCGGTCGTTGTGGCTACCGCGATCAATCACTTTGGTTCTGGGCGATTTTCTGTCCATGTCCTTGTCCGCGTCCGTTTGTTTCGACTGTTTCCTCTGTTGAGCGAATTTGGACATAATAGTGTCGATAAGTCCGGTAAGGGTAGTCGAGATTTCGGATTTCAAAGCGTCTGCCAACAGTTCCAGGTCGGGGAACGGAGCGGCCAACGGTGTCTGTCTGTTTTGAATGGGTTTCTCCAGCGATTCTATTGGTTTTTGTGGATGGATCATGTGTTGTTGTTGAATATTATTTTGTGTTTGTTGGAGTTGTTGATGTTGCTGTTGCAACTGTTGTTGTTGTTGCTGTTGTTGTTGCTGTTGTTGTTGTTGTTGTTGTTGTTGTTGTTGCTGCTGTTGATGTTGTTGTTCAGCGACCATAGCAGCTTCTTTGGCCAGTCTGGCCTCTTGTTCCATGAACAACTTGTGGCTGACCCCCAAGTACATAGCGGCCGCGTTGTTGATGGCATGATGTTGGCTGTGGTTGTTGTGCTGTTCCTGGAGCACTTGGTGCTGGAGTAACGAAAGGGCGCCGTTGAACGACGGGTGCATAGGCATGTGTGAGGTTTGCGGTAAGAATTTTACCATTTTCGAAAAGTTTGAGCTGATCTGTGGCGGCGGGGTAACGGATTTGGGGGCCACGGGTTCGTCGGCCATTTCCGGTTCCTGTTCTCCGTCGCTAACGTCTTCGGGTTCTTCGTCGTGGTCCATTCTGGTGCACAACTGCACGTATTTCTGTTGCATCTCGGCCAACTGCTCTTGCATAGTGCGCAGTTGATTTTTCAAAACGTCTTTTTCTACCATTTTTTGTCTGAGCTCGTTGGGGCTGAGCTTTTCATCGTCATCGTCGTCGTCCTCGTCGGCTTCGTGCGCGCTATTATACCGCTCGCTGTTGTCGTGCTGTTGCGGGTGGTACAGCTTGCGTTTTTTGCAGCCGTTCACCTGGACTGGCAACGACGGGCTGGACCGCATGGTGGACACGATATTCTCGACCCTAGCCTTTTTTAATTCGATCTGTTCTACTCGGCCCTCGGAATCCTTGGTCTGTTCATCGGCCTGTTCTTTGGTGTCGGACACCGGGGAACCCAGCGACCTTTCGGAATCGCTACAGTCGTTCAAGTCGTCCGCGTCGTTATTTACGTTATTGACGGAGCTTACCTCGGTCTCGGCGGATTTGTCCATGTCCATCGGCACGATGCAGTCCTGTTGCTGCATGGCCACGTCCTTGACGTCGTTTTTGTTGTTGTTGATGTTGTTGTTGTTGTTCATGATGCTGTTGTCGGGCGACGACGGGTCGTCCGAGTGCCGGAATTCCTGTTCGAGCGCCAGCAGCTCCTTCTTCCGACCCTGCAGTATGTCCCGGAGCATGTGGTGCGCCAGCTCGCTGTTGGGCGCCGGTGAATTAGGCAGACCCGGCAGCGGCTGGGCCATACAGTCGGCGGAGTCCATGGTCATCATATCTTCTTTGACTTGACGGCCGATGAACTCGTTTAGCATTTTTCCGGGCCCGAAGCCCTGGTTGAAGAAATACTGTTGATGGCCTTGGCCAAAGAACGCGCCGTAGAAGCTGGCGGCCTGATTCAGTAGTGGCGCCGAAGACACGATGGGTCGCGAACTGAAATTCGGTATGGACGAGTAACTGTTACGCGGCTCGCCGGCATCCACGCGCTGTCTGCTGCGTTTTGACTTGTTCTTCAACAGTTTGTCGGCCGCACCGTCCAAATCCCCACCGACGAAACACTCGGGTCCCCCCGCCACCGCCGTCGTAGCACCGTTGCCGCCGTCCTCCTCAGATGACATAGCCGGCTCCGATTGGTCGTCCCCTTCCTTCGCGCATCAACCGGATCACCTGCACACACACAACAACTGTTAGACGGGTTTTTTTTCCTACTACACAACATGAATATAATTTTTAATTTTCCCTCTCCCAATCACTTAAACTCCGGCTAGAAAACATTATCGCCGCCTTCGAATCGTAATGAATACACCGCCGTTTGCTTACCTATAGGCCGCCTAAACACAGCTCTAGAGCTCTCGGGTATTGTACATATACATTATACATAAATACATGGCAATAATAATACTGCTACAACACTACATTATACTACAGCCCGTGTACACACAAAACCCCTACGCGGCTCGTGCCTTATGTCAAAACCAAAAATGCATCTGCTCCTTACCCACAAATACACACACACCCGCAATGCCCACCGCGAGACGGATAACGCACTTAATCATATTCGGCCTAATCAATAATCACTATACATAATATATAAGTACAACCGGAACTACGTCCATCATACAATATACCTAATGTCTTAAACACTCCCCCGCCGGCCGGTAAGTGTAGTGCCCAAGTGTACGGGCACACCACCGGTGTTTTTTTAATATTATAACCGACCAAACGTCGGCAACAAGTAAAATAATAATAATAATGATATTGTTTAAGACTATTTAGGGTTTTTTTTTCAGGAGGGTTCTTTAATTTCAATTACGGTAAATACCCAACTCGTTATATTAAGTATACTTTCCGGACAAAATAACACAGTAGGTATAATAATTCAATTATTCGTCTACATTATATTTCAACGGAGGCATAATATATGTTTTCAATAACCGATGGTATAAAGAAATTGCGGTAACATGTTACATTTTTTTTTTCAAATATACGAGTATTAGACCTGCACCTGAATTTTGAAAATTAGCATCAAATAAAAGCAATGGTTGTCTCTTTATAATTACACACCTGAATCGTTTATTTATGAAAGGTGTTAAGTCAAAGTTTTGGCCAAATTTGTTTTATCATAAAAATATGTTTGGCGATAATAGGCGCAACGCTAAACGTTTAAAAGTAGTTAACTTTTTTTTAAATTTTTTACACTAAACAAAAAAAAAATTTTGACGAAATAATTTTGTGTTTTACACGGTTGGCTACATGAAAAATATTATTTAATATAAAATATTACTTAAATATGAAGTAATAATATACTGGAAAAAGTGTTATCACTCTTATCTATCTCAACATTTTTCTGTAATTTACATTTTATGAAAGGGTTTAAGTATAATGAATTTGGTTATAGAAGTGGTTAAACACATACACACTGCAAGAGTTTACACAATGTTATTTCTTCAATTGTTGTCTGGAATTGTATTTTTAGTTAAACGTTTTAAAAAGTGAAAAATATAGTAGTCTATATCAATATATTCTTTTTTAAAATGTTATTTATAAGTGAAAATAAATAGGTTATCTTAGCTGAATAAAATTAACTCTTTATACTTGTCTGATGCATTTGTGTAAGCTGGTTATTTTTATTTGGTTTAAACGAAATTATTTTAAAACAACAATTACAGCTAAACTACTATTTATCAAGTCTAAGAAACACGTTGTCCGCCTAACGTCCTTTTTTATTTTTACCAAAACGGTCACCTTAAATGCGTTTCTACGGTCTTGACGAGACAAATCGGACTCGCAACGACGGCGCTAGAATTAATGTACAACGGTATTGTGCGTTTATACTATACACAGTAACACAGTATAATAATGTTTTAGGAAGAAAGGGGGGGGGGGCTAAGAACCGGTCGCGAATAAGCGAGAAGAAAGGCAAAAGACATACGCCAAGAAGCAAAAGGCAGCGCGGGCCAGGTGTAGGGAACGCCTTGGCGCGTGGGAAAAACACAAACGGTAACGGTTTTTTCCTCCTCTCGGCGTCTTGCAAGAAAGTCGGATGGGGCGAGACCGGAACAATAATGTCTTTTACATTGTGGTCCCCCCGTGTCTTTAAGACGGCGACTCGTTTGCACACACAACACATACACACTTACAGGGGTTCGGTTGCGCACCCTTCTAACGGTCTTTTCCCTCGCTATTATATTTATATTCGTTTCTTTCTGGTTTTTTTTTTCACTTCACTATTCTCGATGCGATTCTGCGGGCTATACCGACCTCTTATACCCGTGTACACTCCAAGGGTATACCTATATATATTATTATGTACATACCCGCGCCGAGTTGCGAAACGATATTTCCGTTAACGTTTCGCATCTTAACCTGACGGGGCGAGCGACCGGTTTGGCGCGCAAAGGTCTTCGATTTTTTTGTTGTTTTTAAATACAGTAATATGCACTTTGCGTTAGTTGTATAGCGCTCTGCCGTGACGGTCTTGGACAGATTTTTTAATGAACAAACACCATACTTAGTATAAATGATATTATTGAAGAGACGTGACTGTGTGGGGGTGAACAATGAGTGGTTGCAGCACACGCTTATTATAGAGTCGACTTGAGCTGGGCGTTTTGATTTTATAACAACACAGTCACTGTTATTATGTTTTCTACAGGTAAACCACCGACGGTGTTCTATTGATTTTGCTTTTGACAAAACAACTAATTGGTGACTATATGGACAATAAAAGATTCTGCCACGACTTATAACAGCGAGAGTACCACCTAGTTCTTAATAGATACGAAAAAGGTATCGCGGAAACCGTTTACAGATGTCTAATTTCGCACTCGTCACATCGACGATTACACTTCCAAAATATACATAAACACTATATTTGTCTGACCAACCATACTCGACAGTTGTTAGTTTTTAGTTATTAGTCATAAGATAAATAATTTAGTCACTAATTATTCATACGTGTATGTATGCTAAAATTACTATATTTCAGTGACTAATATTAACTATTATCTAATTTCTGTAAGAAATAGGTCGACATTGCGTCCATCGCCAGTTTACTCTCAAGCAAATCGAATTACTCTGCTTACTTTTCGTTCTTAATAGTTTTCCAGCCAAAACCTTTTCTGCTTTTCGCTCGTGGTTTAAGTAGTTAATTGTATTTTTATTCATCTTAGCTTTAACACAGTGTTTGTATAAGAAACGATATACTTTTTTTTTTTATCAAAGAGAAGAAAATAAATGCTCCGCTGCGCTGGGGCTTATGTACAGTTGTTTATATTCATCTGTATAATATAATATGTGTGGCACTTGCGACCCGCTATATTTTTTTAATGAGTTTTTAGCGGGCGCAGCTATTATATTATAACACTCGGATGTATCTATATATGTATGTATAACATACAACAACAATAACTAATAGTTAATACACTGGCAACCACCCAGTATATAAGGGCGAACAACAGTTTGTTTTCGACACTCGGTTAAACCCTTTGTCGGACACGAGCTATCGCGGTTTAATATTATCGTCTTCGATCATCCGTGCTGCGCTTTTGCACATGCGGTTTATCTGTTATCATACCTTTGCTGAATCATGTTGTATCGATTAAAACGCAACTGTTGCAACACCGTGATCTTTAAACGGACAAAAAATATTAATAATAATAATAACAAAGCGCAGAGAGAACAATAATAAAATAATATATATAATTATGGAGCCATTGCCATTCGATTCTATTCATGCATCAAGGGATATTTCACGAACACAGTATAATATAATAATAATATCGTGCAGGACCTCGCCGTTGCTTTAACGTTATAATGTCGGAGAGCCTTACCTCTTTTTTTTTTTTTTTAGTTTAATGATCATTGTCGACGAAAAATAAAAATAACTAAAATTACTCTGGTCTCTCTTTTGTCAGCTAAGTTCCGGTCGTAGTCAATGACCAAACACACCGATACGGTCTGTCGATAAGGGAGAGTTTGGTCCAGGTAACATATGGTTATGTGTGTGTATGTGTATGCGGCGTTCAGGAAGGAAGTAGATAATTGAGAGGGACACAAACGGAATATTATGTTTAATAAAATATATTCACGCAAATAAATTAGAATTCGTTACCTACATACATACACTACCGGGTGAGTGCCTTATTGGTGGGCTCTCTTATTAGATTGGATTCTGGATAACAATGGGAAACCTATATTATAGACACGGAATTCTCACACTCGACCATTTGTTTCTATCGCAGTGTCCATGACGACCACTAGGATAATGCATATAATAAGCATAAACGCACATGTTGTTCCGGTTTGTGTGTGTATGTGTATGAAAAAAAAAAAATACAAATTACTAGACACATAGGCTGGTGCATTGTGTTATTCTTATATACACTGTGTGTATGAGAAAATTGTGTTGTGACCACTCAATTAGCACGCTGGGTCCTGTAGCCACACAGTGAGGAGAGGAGACACTAAGATCAATAGCGTTTGTTTTTAACTGATGTGGGAATGAGTAAATTGATATACGGCCGAGCGTTTCCTTCAAGTCGCCACCGTATTTCTATTATAATGTTAATACAATATTATACTGGTTGTTTTTTTTTATTTATAAAGAATTTTTTAACAATTCTGTTATTGCCGCGTCGCACAAGAATAAGAATGACGTTAACATTGCTAATTATTGAGACAAAACGAGTGTATCAGCTTAGAAATACAATGATTATTTTACTGTTTATAATATTGCTGTTTTCCTTTTGAAGCGTTCAACGACAACCTTTCCTGATATTATTTTAGATTGTAAATAATAGACGATTCCATGGGGGAAAAAATGATAAAAAAACATTATTTAACAACCTATTTTACGACCAATGGAAACTAATTAGTAAGAAAATATAATGATAAAATATTTAAAAAAACTCTTAGCCGCAAAGCAATAAAATTTAAAGTATATTATTTTTTGTGGTGAGGGTTATTATATAGCATTTTATTTCTTAGGTACAGTATATCCAAAGTAATTTTTTATTTTGACTGAATTTAAACGAAATCATCGTAATGTAAAAAATAGAAAAAAAGATAATACGAGTTTCGATTGCTATGTAAAAAAAATTATAGGTACTTGTATTTATAAAATTCTTTTTAAGTCCTCAGTATAATTTTAATACCGGATAATTATC